TAAAAATTAAGACATGGAGGAGACCTTGTGCTTCCCCTCTTGATTTCTTTCTAAACACATACTGATGATTTTTTAAAAAGAGCAAAGCAGGCCGGGCGCGGTGGCTCAAGCCTGTAATCCCAGCACTTTGGGAGGCCGAGGCAGGTGGATCACAAGGTCAAGAGATCGAGACCATCCCGGTCAACATGGTGAAACCCCGTCTCTACTAAAAATACAAAAAATTAGCTGGGTATGGTGGCACGTTCCTGTAGTCCCAGCTACTCAGGAGGCTGAGGCAGGAGAATTGCTTGAACCCAGGAGACGGAGGTTGCGGTGAGCCGGAGATCGCGCCATTGCACTCCAGCCTGGGTAACAAGAGCAAAACTCCGTCTCAAAAAAAAAAAAAAAAAAAAAAAAAAAAAAAAAAAAAAAAAAAAAAAAAAAAGAGCAAAGCATTCAGAAAACATTCTTTGGCTTTGGGTTTTGGGAGTTTTCTGGAGGTGGGATGGGAGGATTAGATTACTATATGTAATTTCTCATTAGGGTGTATTTAAAGTTATTTTCCCAACACCCTAATTAGAGAGAGTGTGACCATAGATCTGAATTTCATAGTTTCAGGAATGCTCCATTTATTTATATGGATCACTGATGAGAATAGTAAGGATATTGGTAGATAGGTATGGGAGGGAACTAATTAAGACTAGGCTGGATTGGTTCATACTTGACTAGGTGAGGAAACAGTAAAGGAGTTTCTGTCCATGAAGTTTGTGATTCTACATCAAGATAATTCTTTATGGCTGGGCACAGTGGCTCATGACTGTAATCCGAGCACTTTGGGAGGCTGAGGTGGGTGGATCACCTGAGGTCATTAGCTGGGTGTGGTGGTGTGTGCCTGTAATCCCAGCTACTCGTGAGGCTGAGGCAGGAGAATCATTTGAACCCAGGAGGCAGAGGTTGCAGTGAGCCAAGATTGTATCACTGCACTCTAGTCTAGGCAACAGAGTGAGACTCCGTCTCAAAAAAAAAAAAAAAAAAAAAAATTCTTTATAATAGAATAACCACCCATCCTTCATCCAGAGCCAGAATTCCTCAGATTCTTCCAACCAAAGGGGCCCTGGCATGCTAAACAGTCTGTTAGAATATCTGAACACTTAAGTGAATGTATTTGGCCAGGGAGATTTGCTGGTGAAATTGATCTTTCCTTCCCCGAGTTTTTCCAGTTGTGTTGAATAATTAAAGGAAAATTAAAACCTGGATTCCCTGAACTGTTAAGTATCAGATCTGTAAGCTATCATAAGTCCTTAGGATTACAGCATGTCAAAGTTAGAAAGGACTTTAAAATTCATCTGAACAAACTGCAGAGGATTTGTAAGTCTGTTTTCCCAAATCTCTGCCAAGTGATTGCTTGAATTTCTGCTTAAACACCTCTAGGGTCAGGAAAGTCACCAGTTTAGGGGACACCCTATTCTTTGAATAGCTGTGAGAAGCTCTTTGTTTTAAATCTTAGATCTCAGTGTGCCAGCTTAAGGAGATGTCCAGAACAAGTTTCCTTCCTCTCACATCTCAGCCCTTCAAATACTTCATACTTATTACATCTCCTAGAACTTTCTCTAGGTTAAACATTACTGGTTCTTGTACTATTCGTTCTTCATAGGACAGGGTTTCTAGTGTCTTGGCAGTATAGAACCAAGAGGACACAGGATTCTGGGGCAGTGCCTTTAAAAGTTTTAGAACTAAAAAATATTACAACTAGACAGGGTGTCAAGAAACAGCCTAGTCTGCCCCCCATCCCTTTCAGTTTATAGACGGGCAGAGTCTTTTGGATTTGAGTGGGTAGAATTGATCAGCAGCCTTTGTTGAAGTGAGAAACGAAGTGTAAAACATTTTACCAGAGAAAGGTCTTTTAGTTGCTTAATTCCAATTACAGGCTTCAGCTCACATCTCATTCTTTGCCAAGGACCAGTCTGATTCCCTAAGTAAGCCTAAGGCTCAGCTCTGGGTTTCTGTGCCAGATCTCCATACACCAGGTGTTGGTTTCACATACTATTTGTGTAAAGGGTAGAAATAACTTTTCCATAAGTTTTACCGTATATATTGACCACATGGTCCAACAGGGATTCCGAATTTTAATAGATACTGTTTTTTTCTTCATAAATCCAGAGAATGGCTATCACAAAGAGAACAGAGTATTGGACCCCTTCAGAGATGCAGCTGCCTCTGGTGGACAGTTTCCTGGATTGTCCTTTGTACATTCTTTAACAGTCACCAGGTGACCAGGTGGCTTTTCTAAAAGCAAAAAGCTTGCCGGGCGCGGTGGCTCAAGCCTGTAATCCCAGCACTTTAGGAGGCCGAGGCGGGTGGATCATGAGGTCAAGAGACCGAGACCAACCTGGTCAACATCGTGAAACCCTGTCTCTACTAAAAAAAATACAAAAAATTAGCTGGGCATGGTGGCGCATGCCTGTAATCCCAGCTGTTCAGGAGGCTGAGGCAGGAGAATTGCCTGAACCCAGGAGGCGGAGGTTGCGGTGAGCCGAGATCACGCCATTGCACTCCAGCCTGGGAAACAAGAGCGAAACTCCGTCTCAAAAAATAAATAAATAAATAAATAAAAATAAAAGCAAAAAGCTGTGGATGAGGGGATTGTGAGCCACTTTTCTCTAGTATTTTTCTTTTTCTTTTTTTTTTTTTTTTGAGATGGAGTTTCGCTCTTGTTACCCAGGCTGGAGTGCAATGGCGCGATCTCGGCTCACCGCAACCTCCGCCTCCTGGGTTCAGGCAATTCTCCTGCCTCAGCCTCCTGAGTAGCTGGGATTACAGGCACGAGCCACCATGCCCAGCTAATTTTTTGTATTTTTAGTAGAGACGGGGTTTCACCATGTTGACCAGGATGGTCTCGATCTCTCGACCTCGTGATCCACCCGCCTCGGCCTCCCAAAGTGCTGGGATTACAGGCTTGAGCCACCGCGCCCGGCCTTCTCTAGTATTTTTCTATTTGAGATTTGAAATACCCATGCTTTTCATCTGGCCCAAGGAGGCTCAGGTTTTCTTGGCTGTGCGCAGCTATAAAGGACCCACGTGTTTGGTCGTAGGGCTCAGCTGTTGGCATCCTCACCTCTCCCTCCATCCCATTTTCTTCCATCATTGATCCACTCAGGTCTGTGAGCAGAGAAATCCTGGTGGGAGAATTGAGCAGGACTTGATATACTTTAGAAGGGCGAGAGTGAAGGTAGAATGTGCCTGAAGTTATCCAATAACTTGGTCTCTGAGCATGACCGAATTCCTTTGGGACATTGGGAAAGTGCCGGGTTTAAGGCTGGAGTGTTCTTCGGTCTGGCTGGGGGCGCACTAAAGGTGACATTGGAGGGACTATAGGGACAGCCTTTGGCGGCAGAGCTGGAGCCGAGGGCGATGCTGGCAGCCCACCCCAGGCGGCGCGACCTGCCGCCACACGGGAACTTGAGTGTCCCTCGTCAGAACCGGCCAGCTGGGAGAACAGGAGTGCCCCTTCTGGGTACGTTCGCCTTTGGGCTGGGCTCGGAGCCGGGCGGGTAGCGAGACGGGGGCGGGAGGGGCCGAGCCAGTGGGAGGAGGGCGGGGCTTTCCTTTGTCAGGGGATTTGCGCGGCGCAGCCGAGAGTCGCGCGGGTTTCGCTCCTCTTCCTGCGCCCTCTCCGGGGGCGGGGCGTTCCCCTCTGCCCCCGGGGCGCGGTGGGCGTGGGGCGCGGGAGCCGAGGGGTGGGGCTGGCGCCCCGGGTCCCTCGCTCCAAATCCCGCAGAAGCCCCTCCTTCGGCGCCTCGGCCTCCAATCTTCTCCGCCGACCCCTCCTCGCTCTGGGTCGCTCCTCTCCCCGGCCCCGCCCCCGGTGGGCCCCGCCCCCGCCCTCCTCCCGGGCTCTCAGCGTCTCGCGCTCCCCGGCTTCCAGGGGGCTGCCCGGGCGGGGCTGCGCTGCGCGGCGGCGCGGGGAAGGGGGAGGAGAGCCGCCCGCCAGCCGAGCACTTCCAGCGAGCCAGCGAGCCAGCGAGCTAGCGGGCCGCGCGGCGCGGGGGAGGAAGGCTCGGCCCCCGCCGGCCCGAGCGGAGCCTTTTGTTCCCAGGCAGAAGTTTGCATGCCGGGACCGTGACAGCTGCGGGCGGGGAAGACGGCGGGGCCGCAGGGCCGCGGGGCCAGCGGCGTGGTGGAGAATAGAGGCGGCTGCTTGTCATGCAGCCCACGGCACGGCGGCTGCGGGCCGGCGACTGGCGGCGGCGGGGGAGGCGGCGCCCACAGCACTCGGGACTCAGCTGCCGGAGGGACAAACTAACTTCCTGAGCACGGGACCTGAGGCCGACGCGGCCGGGAGCCACCTGCAGCCTGCGGTGAGGCGACCCTGGCCCTCGGGGCGCGCGACATGGTGCGAGGAAGCGGGCCGTGCTGAGCAAGCCCCTCTGCAGACCCGCAGCCGTTGCTGCCGCCCGCCCGCCTTTCGAAAGGCCTGGCGCGGACCTCCGCTCGCCTTGTTTTGCATCCACAGCGCAGGGTTGGCCTGGGAGCCACAACAATGCCATGATGTTTTGGAGACAGGAAGCCCCAAGCTGGCCCCGAATGAAGGACTTCCTGTGTTTAAAGTTGCAGGAATATCCGCCGACCAGCTCAGCTCAAATGCAAACACCCCAGCTAGGGAGGACGAATGGCTAATTCAGACCAGCTGGACTCTCCGGGGCTGGAACTAGGATAAAATGAAAGGAATTCTTAGGAGCTTGGGCCATACTTGAAGACTAGAGAGGCTGTGCCATTGTTATTAAAGGACACAGTCGGCATAAATTTGCTGCTCCCAACTCTGCGTCGGTGAGAAGTGAATGGAACTAGATATAGAAAAAGACTTGTCAATATCCGATGATTTTTGTTGACTGAATTCGAAAGAGCAGTGCTCTTAAAAAAAATAAACCAGAAGCCATACAAGGAATTATTTTAAATTATACCGTCTGTCTGCAACTATGAGGCTGCTAGCCTGTGAGGAAAAAGCTGTTTGTCTTAGAGCTTCTCCCAGAATGGTTTCGAAATGGGGCTTCCAGGCCTTTCTGGAGGGCAGATGCAAATGGTGGTTTGGAGTATGAACAGCTAAAAGGATTTATAACTTATGTAAAATGCATTTCGTGGGAACTCGTGAAAAAACTTTTGAAAGATTGATGGTTCATCTTGATTGAAAAAGTATGGGTAAGCCACTCAGCAGGCCAGACTGTTTAAGGCGGAACCCCACCTGTCTGGGGAAAGGAGACGAGGAGGATGGCTACATAGAGGACTGCTATGTTCCACAGCGATCTATATATGATACAATGAGGATAAATGAGCAAATTGACCAGGGGTCAAAGCTTCACCAGACTTCAAAAAGCACCATGGAAAAGATGGAAGGAAGTACTATATCCAGCAATGGTACATTAGGAGTAGCATCTAATGTGTTTGAATCTAGAGCACCAGAAGGTAAGAAGCTGGATGAGAGGATAATATTTGATGCACTAAAGCTAAGCAGTGATGTGCAGAAGTCAGCACCTGTGCCACCCAGAAGGCGGCCAAATGCAGAACGCAAAGACAATGTTAACAGGAGATCGTGGAAGTCCTTTATGCCACCCAACTTCCCAGAATTTGCAGAGAGGATGGAAGCTTCTCTCAGTGAGGTTTCAGAAGCTGGTGCTTCAAATCCTTCCTTGCAAGAGAAGAAGGAGTCAAGTTCTGCATTAACAGAAAGTTGTGGTCATTTCGACCACAGGGAACCTCAGTCAGAGTCAGTAACTCTGGAGCATGTGTCCAAATCCATAGGTATTCCAGAGGTGCACGATGTAAAAAACTTAAGTGGAGACTGCCAGGACTTTAGATTTCAGCAGCACAGTGCAAACTCTCCCCATGAATTCCAGTCTCTAGAATCAGAAGCTGCAGCAGCAAGTGGTAACACAGATGTAATGCAGGAATCCAGATTCTCAAGTGCAACCTGGCCAAGGGCCACAAAAAGTTTCACTAAGGGAGGTTTTAGTGAGAAGCAGCACCCCCTTGGGGACACAGCCTGCACTGTGGAAATGCCACCTCTCTCCCCTTGCCTGAGTGAAGAGCTGTTAGATCCAGAATTGCATGTTCTCGTAACCCCCAGCCTGAGAGAGAAAACGGAGTCTGAGCTAAAGTTTGAGGAGGATGAGCGATGGATCATGATGGAGGCTGAGGGGGAGTGGGAGGAAGATAAACTGTCAGAGAGGGAAAAGACTTTTCTGATGGCAGATGAGAAGAACAGCCTGGCAGATACTTTTGAAGAAAGAGAACAAGCAAACACAGCAGTGGTGGAGGATGGATCCGATTGCTTAGCTGCTGTCTTGAGGACTTTTGGCCACCCATCTCTTGGTCAGATTTGTTGCCCTGATGACCCTCAGCCAGCCAAGGACCAGTTGGCTACCGTTCCCAAGGATATACCCCTGGATTGCGATTGTGTTCTTACAGGTGAGGGTGTTCTCGGTGAGGTGGCAAACAGAACTGCTCAGGAGCTAGGGGGTCTTGTTTCAGATTCAGCATGTACTGTGGGGGTTGTTGATGCAGAGCACCTCTCTGACACAGACTCAGTGCAGATGTTTCTCGAACTTGAAAAGGAGTGTTTATGTGAAGAAGGAGTAACTCCTCTAGTTGAGCTACAGAATCAAACCTCTTCTGAAGGGCTGGCCACATCCCAGGATGCAGAAACTTTGCTTGTAATTCGTTATTTTCCAGGGGCTGCCTTAGAAAAGGAACAACATTTAGGCCTTTTACACGTAAGGGCAAGAGACTATGATTCTGGACTGGATTGTGGATATTTTAATACCCTGGATTCTTCTCAGGTGCCTAATGCTGTGGAACTTATTGCCCACATTGATAACATGAGAGACACTTCCACTGTTAACAAGGAGGAATGTGAAAAAGTGCCTTTTAGCCCCAGGACTGCAGAATTTAAGTCCAGACAGCCAGCTGATCTGGATTCACTGGAAAAGCTGGATCCAGGAGGACTGCTGAACTCTGATCACAGGGTTTCTCATGAAGAAAAATTATCAGGCTTCATTGCTTCTGAGCTGGCCAAAGACAATGGCAGTTTGTCCCAGGGAGACTGCAGTCAAACTGAGGGGAATGTTGAGGAGTGTACTGAGAGGGTCACCTTTAGTTTTGCTTTTAATCATGAACTAACAGATGTTACCTCAGGACCTGAAGTAGAGGTGTTATATGAATCACATTTGCTAACAGATGAGATTCATTTGGAAAGTGAGAATGTAATTGTTAATCAAGAAAATAACAGTCTGACATCCTTGGGAAATGTGGATGCTTGTGCATTCTCTGTGGAGAAAGTTTGTGATGAGGATGGTGAGACAAAAAAGCTGGATTATCAAGCCACACTTTTGGAGGATGGAGCCCCGGCACATTTCCACAGAAACTTACCAGAGCAGTTCTTTCAAGATCTCCAGAGGAAGTCCCCAGAGTCAGAGATTCTGAGTCTGCACCTGCTGGTTGGAGAACTGAGACTTAATCCAGATAGAGTGGAAACTGTGAATGATACAAAGCCTGAGCTGGATGTGGCATCATCAGAGGGAGGGGAGATGGAAAGGAAAGATTCTGATTCATTCCTAAATATTTTTCCAGAGAAACAAGTTACCGAGGTTGGTAATACTGAACCAGTTTTAGAGGAATGGATACCCATCCTCCAGAGGCCTTCCGAGACTGCTGCAGTGCCCACTGTAGAAGATGCCCTAGATGCTGCGCTGCCCAGCCAAGAGAAGGATATCTCAATTGCTGTAGTGCTTTCCTCAGAGGGGCCTGCCCCCTCAGCTGCTGCAGTGCCTGCCCCAGAGGGAACTGCTATAGCTGCTGCTATAGTGCCCTTCCCACATGAGGACGTCCCAGTTGCTTCAGTAGTCTCCTTAGAGGAGGAGGATGTCACAGCTGCTGCAGTATCAGCCCCAGAGAGGACTACTGTCCCAGTTGCTGCAGTGTCCTCCCCAGAGGAGACTGCTCCAGCTGTTGCAGCAGCCATCACACAGGAGAATGTATCAGCTGTTGCAGGGTCCTCCCCAGAGTGGACTGCTCTAGCTATTGCCATTACAGAGGAGGATGATACACCAGAATGGCCTGTCACCCCAGCTACCACAGTGCATGCTCCAGAGGAGCCTGATACTCCAGCTTTTAGAGTGTCCACCCCAGAGGAACATGCCACCCTAGCTGCTGCAGTGATCACCCCAGAGGAACATGCCACCCCAGCTGCTGCAGTGCTCCCCACAGAGGAACATGCCACCCCAGCTGCTGCAGTGCTCCCCACAGAGGAACATGCCACCCCAGCTGCTGCAGTGTCTATCCCCGAGGAGCCCGCCTCTCCAGCTGCTGCAGTGCCCACCCCAGAGGAATCTGCCTCCCTAGCTGCTGTAGTGCTCACCCCAGAGGAACATGCCACCCCAGAGGAATCTGCCTCACCTGCAGCTGTGGTGGCCACTCCAGAGGAACTCACTTCCCTGGCAGCTTTAGTGGTCATCCCTGAGGAGCCCACCCTAGAGGAACCCACCTCCTCAGCAGCTACAGTGCTCACCCCAGGGGAACTCACTTCCCCAGCAGCTTCAGTGTCTACTCCTGAGAAGCCCGCCTCCCCAGCAGCTGCAGCGCCCACCCCTGAGGAGCCCGCCTCCCCAGCAGCTGCAGCGCCCACCCCTGAGGAGCCCGCCTCCCCAGCAGCTGCAGCGCCCACCCCTGAGGAGCCCGCCTCCCCAGCAGCTGCAGTGCCTCCTATGGAGGAAGTTTTCCCCATTGGTGTGCCCCTTCTGGGAGTTTCTGCCCACACTGATTCACTGCCTATTTCAGAAGAAGGAATTCCTGTTCTAGAGGAGGCTTCCTCCACTGGAATGTGGGTCAAGGAGGACTTTGATCCCCCAGCATTTGGCATAAAAGAGGTGACCAGCACAGTGCTACATGGGAAAGTGCCTCTGACTACAACCACCGGATTAAATTCAGATGAGGTAATAGTTGCCCATTTTGATGCTGAGAAGGGTCTAGAGAGTAAAGTGAGATTTGCAAGGCTGACTTGATGGTGAAGAGAAATGACACAGATGTTCTTTGTTCTCTTTGGGTCCCCTGGGCTTATAGTTTGTAGTCTTTCTTTGAGTTTAGAGGGAAAATATACTTAAATTTTGTCTGGTGAAAAACTTTATAATTTCATGCTTCATTGTTTATTCAGGTAAGCCAATACCAAGGAAAACAGGGATATAAACAGTTGTTGATTTACATTTTTAACAGGATGATTAGCAGGAAATGGTGATTCTGCTTTTGAATTATACAATGAGCATGTTCTTTCTTAAACCAAGAGACAGTTTATTGATCGGTGGTATCAACATTTAGGTAGAGGCCAGAGTGTGAACTTTGGAATGAGATCTGGGGTGCTTCTTAAACACTCTGGGAAAATAGTTAGCTGTTCTGAATATCCTATTTCCTTATTTGTTAAGGCAGAACTCTGTGAGGGTAACATAAGATACATTTAAAACAGCAAGCATGTAAGATTACCAATCACTGGCCATATCTCACCCGTTCTCTTCAAATAGCTATGTTGGTTAGTTGAAGGAATTTACCAAAGCAGGTTGGATAGAAGCAATGAAGATAAGCAATTAAGAACTTTTAAATGCAAATGTGCGTTTCTGAAAGCCAGAGCTAGGCATAATAATGTTTATGAAAAATAGAGATATTTTAGTCATCTTTGTCAAACTGCGTTTGTGTCCTTAAGTAAGTCACTTTCCTTTCCAGGACCCTTGTTTCTTAAGCTATAAAACAAGAAAATTGGGCTAAATGTACTCTTGGGTCTCTCTTGGCTCTAAGATTCTTAATCTTAAGAGAACCGAATGTGTTAGGAAACAGTTGGAAACGACGTTCCACATCCTTGAGCACTCCTAGTCCAAGGAATTTGAGATCAGCAGCTTTCTACAGTTAACTATCTGGGTTTCATTTGGTCAGTGGTAAGAGTGAAGGAATCAGAGGTTTAACCTTAATGCAGTCAGAGATAACTGAGAAGATTGTTTTGATTTTACTGCACCCTTAGGACTCAGAATAGTGCCTTCTTCATAGTAGGCATTTGCTGTTGACTGGCTGACTGAATGCATGAGTGTCAATTTCCTAGTATGGATGGATGCTACAAGAAAGATGGGTTTCTCATTCACCTCATTGCAGAGCCTTTCAGGGCAGCCATAACTCAGCTAGAACACCGGTTAAACATGCAGCTCCTGACAACAAAATCATTTTGATTGCATGCCATTAGCTCTTTGATTAAGAGAATTGATTAAGATCCTCTGGCTTTGCTGGGTGAGGGTAATTTTACCTTGAGCTTTACCAGTTATTTTGTAATGTAGCATTCCATCAAATTAGGATGCATCATCTTTGAGACTGATAGATTTTTGATTCAGTTTTCTGAGTTCTGTTGAATTTGGAGTTGACACTGAGATCCTAGTAGCCTGGCCGAAGTAAAGACAATAGGTCAACAACTGAGTAGATGTCTTGCACTGACATTCTTGGTAATAACAGAATATTTTACCAGAGTAGTGGCTCTCACACCTATAGTCCCAACACTTTGGGAGGCCAAGGCAAGAGGATTGCTTGAGGCCAGGAGTTCAAAAACAGCCTAGGCAACATAGTGAGACCTCCCCATCTCTAAGAAAATAAAAAGAAAAGAAACCCAGAATATCTCTGGTATAAAGCTTATATAGCAGTGATCATGAAATACAGGGATTAAGTTCATAATGAGGCAATCAAATATGCATAAAGGTAAAAAAATTTATAGAAATCCTGCATCAGTCTCTGGGATCCTGTTTCCTCATCTGCAAAATATGTAGTTGGCTACGTAATCTCTAACTGTCCTTCCAGCTACTGGAGGTAATCCTTTTATGAAATATTGCCTGATGTAAATGACAGAAGAAGGAAATGGTAGCCCAGCTGCACGGTTGTCCATCTTTGAAGTGTGGTTATTTTATGGAATATCTAGAAGCAAGTAAATGCCTACATCTGTGTGCAGGAAAGAAAAGATCTGAGCCTCAGCCAGGACTGTTAGCCAACAGGAATGTAGAGGGGCTATTTTGAAAATACTGAAAAAAAATCAAATCATTATAGAGTTAACATGAGTATACATGTTTGCTAAATTGGTGAAATATTATTTTTAAAAAAGTTTTTCCAAGAGGAGAGATTATCAATTTTTTATTTCTTCCATTACCCTAAGAGGATTCCAAGAGGCAACTGAACCTGTCATTTTTATATATAAACACTTAGAACTCGACAAGTGATTTAGAATGAACCGAGGTCTTCTATGTTTGTATGTATATGTACAAGTGCAGACATGTATATATGGTTAAAGTAGATAAAACTTTCTAATAGCCAATAACAACAGCGTTTGGTAGAAGCAAAATGCCAAAAACTTGTTTGCTTTTTCTGTAGTGGGATCTGAGGCCCACTCAGAGCAATCTCTGGTTATATAAACTCCCTGCTTATTTATAGACTTTTGCAGTTTTAATTCGAGTCACTGGTTCTAAGGAAGAAAAAAACCTTTTGCATAAAATAAGGGTTCTGTAAAATTAAAAATTGCCAAGAAAGTCTGTTTAAGCAGAAATTGGGGAGCACCACAATTCCAGTTCAGTGTTTGAATGCTCTGCTGATCAGCAGAACCTTTATTGGTTTTTTAGCTTTCCCCAACACCATTTCTATACAAGGGTTCATTCATTCACTGAATAAAAATTTTTTTTTGAAAGTCTTGCTCTGTTGCCCAGGCTTGAGTGCAGTGGCATGATCTTGGCTCACTGCAACCTCTGCCTCCCGGTTTCCATTGATTCTCCTGCCTCAGCCTCCCGAGTAGTTGGTATTATAGGCGTGTGCCAACACACCTGGATGATTTTTTTAAAATATTTTTAGTAGAGACAGGGTTTCACCCTGTTGGCCAGGCTGGTTGTGAACTTCTGACCTCAGGTGATCTGCCCACCTCGGCCTCCTAAAGTGTTGCAATTATAGACATGAGCCACAATGCCTGGCCTAAATAAATATTATGAGTACCTATACCTACTCTGTACCAGGTACTCGGTTCCTACAGTAAATAGAATTGGCATGGTCGTTGCCCTTATGGAACTTATACTGAGTAGGGGAGGCAGATATTAAGAAAGCCACACACAAATAAAATAATATATGGTTAGAAATTTTGGCAAATACTTTGAATAAAAATATATCAATGGATTTGAAGACAACTGGGTGGATTGAAAATTTATTTTGGAGGTAAAATCAAGAGCTTATTATGGCTTCTGTGTTGGGGGTGAGAGAGTTATCAAGAGTGACATTTAAGTTCTCGTTTGTACAGTGGAGTAGATGGTGTAAATTATTGATTTAAGAAATAGCAGATTTGGGAGTAAGGAAAAGTGGAAGATAGTTTCATCTTTGAAATGTTAGGCTTGAGATGCCTGTGATTCATTTTTTGCATGTAGATATTAAGAAAGCAGTTGAGGCCAGGCACGGTGGCTCATGCCTCCAGTTCCTAGCACTTTGGGAGGCCAAGGTGGGTGGATCACAAGGTCAGGAGTTTGAGACCAGCCTGGCCAACGTGGTGAAACCCTGTCTCTACTAAAATAGAAAAAGTTAGCCGGTTGTGGTGATGCACACCTGTAGTCCCAGCTACTTGGGAGGCTGAGGCAGGAGAATCACTTGAACCTGAGTGGCAGAGATTGCAGTGAGCCAAGATCACGACACTGCAGCTCCAGCCTGGTGACAGAATGAGGCTCTGTCCCCTCCCCACAATGAAGAAAAAAACAAAAAAAGAAAGCAGTTAGACATATAGGTTTGAAACTCAGAACAGGGACAGATGGGTTTGAAACTCAGAAGAGAGACATAATGAGAGGCATAAGCATTTATTGTAGTTAGTATTTAAACCCATAGAAATTGATGGAATTGCCTAGAAATATAGAAGGAGAAGAGAGTCCAGGACTGACACTTTCCCTCACTCCCACCCCCAAAGACTTCATTAAACATTTAGAGGTCTAGAAGAGGAGAAAGAGAACAAAGGACAACAGAAAAGAATGAGTCAGGATAAAACTGGAAAAATGCAATAACAAGGTTGGATGCTGTGGCTCACACCTGTAATCTCAGCACTTTGGAAGGCTAAAGTAGGCAAATCACTTGAGGTCAAGAGTTCAAGACCAGCCCAGTCAACATGGTGAAACCCTGTCTCTACCAAAAAATAGAAAAACTAGCCAGGTATGGTGGTGCATGTCTGTAGTCCCAGCTACTTGGGAGGCTGAGGTAGGAGAATCACTTGAACCTGGGAGGCAGAGGTTACAGTGAGCTGAGATTGTGTCTCTGCATTCCAGCCTGGGCAACAGTGTGAAACCCTGTCTAAAAAAAAAAATAAAATGCAATAACAAAGATAAAAGTGTTTTAAGGAGTTCTTTGGAAAATTTTCTATTTTGTATCCTAGTTGCATGTTACAACCTTGCAACAGTTTTTACTAGTGTACTTCTTTGGAAAATGTCTGCCAGTGCTGCCTAGTTAATAATATGGCACAGTCCTGTTTCACTAACAGTATGTGAAATACTACAGAGTAGGAATTTCAGTGTATCTAAAAGCTCTGGTCTTGCGAAACGGCTTTATTTGGGTGTGACAGATGGAAGCAGGTGTTTTCAAATTTACGTTCTTTAATGTTCTGTTCACTTATATTCAAAATAAATAATATTTATTTAGAAGGGCTTCCATATATTTTATGAGAAATGGTACAAATACTCATTGTCCCTGTCAACTTAATTCATAGAGTGAAGATGAGAAATGAAGGAATAGCTAATGCTTTTATAGAAGATGTCTGTAAACAAAGTAAATCCAAAATTTTAAAGTAGCAGCAGCTCTTATTAGAGGTTGAACATTCAAAATCCAAAATGTCCTAAATCTGAAACTTTCTGGATGCTGACATGATGCTCAAAAGAAGTGCTCATTGGAGCATTTCAGATTTCAGATTTTCTTTGGGATGGTCAACCAGTAAGAATTTAATGCAGATATTCGAAAATTTGAGTAAATCTGAATTCAGAAGCACTTCTGACCCCATGCATTTTAGATAAGGGATATTCAAACTGTGTATGAAAGAGATTATTGAGCTATTTAAATATAAATATAACTTTACCTTCCTTCCTTTTTTTGGGTGTGTGTGTGTGTGTGTGTGTGTGAGAGAGAGAGAGAGAGAGAGAGAGAGAGAGAGAGAGAGAGATGGAGCTTCACTAGATGGAGTTTTGCTCTTGTTGCCCAGGTTGGAGTTCAGTGGTGCGATCTGGGCTGACCGAAATCTCTACCTCCCAGGTTCAAGCAATTCTCATGCCTCAGCCTCCCAAGTAGCTGGGACTATGGGACTACAGGAGTGTTCCACCATGCCCAGCTAACAGTGAGAGAGAGAGAGAGAGAGAGAGAGAGAGAGAGAGAGAGAGAGAGAGAGAGTGAGTGTGTGTGTGTGTGTGTGTATTTTTAGTATTGATGAGGTTTCACCATGTAGCCCAGGCTGTTCTTGAGCTCCCAAGCTCAGGCAATCTGCTTGCTTCAACCTCCCAAAGTGCTAGGATTACAAGCATGAGCCACTGTGCCTAGCCTGTTTTACTTTTCTGTATAATTTATAGTGCTATCCAGTAGAACTTGCTGCCAAGATGGAGATGTTCTCTATCTATGGTCCGGTATAGTAACCACTGGCCACATGTGGCTTTCACCATGTGAAATGTGGTTAGTGGGTCTAAGGAACTAGATTTTAAATTTAATTTAAATGTCAATAGCTATATGTAGCTGCTGGCTGTCATGTTGGAAAGCACAGAAACAATTTAAATGTCAGTTGCAGTGTGAAATAGGATTTGGTTATTGAGTAAAAGGGGGCCCTTTAATGTGCACTTGACATCTTCCCTACATACCTTGGCTTTCTGCCTTCTTTGACTTTTCATTCCTTCAGCTTCACCACCAGCATTTTATTGTACCAAAAGCAACTTTAAACTTGGGAGGTTTTTCCCGCTTCTGAACTGATTTTTCTTCAGCAGAAACATCTTTAATACTACAAAATGGAATGATAGCGGTTGTTTTTTCTGGGAACCATGTTGTTGGAGAAATAGTCATTTTAGCTGAACTGCTTTGTAATGTTGCCTAAGAAAATATGGTATAATCAAACTATAGTTAAAAAAAATGAAGTGCATACGTAATTACTTTTATAACCTTCCCTTTTCAGTGTTCCCTGGGACTTTCCCTTCCTGGTGATCTTAGCCAGCCATAGACCATTCTTTCTAGAATCGGCTTCCTAATCCTAGTGTGATCTGTCATCTCATATTGACCAAATTGGTCTTATTGAAACTTATAATTTTCTTTTATATTTATTTTTGTCCTCTTCCATTTTCTGTCATCCTCTGGCCTTAATTGAATCATCTGGCTGATGGAAGAAAAAGCAAGAGAAATAAATCCAGGCTAGTGAAATATGGCTTGTTCTGTCCCTCTGATAACTGAGAGAAACCCGATCTTAGGAGCAAGTATTTATTTCATTATTTTCCTTCATACTCTTAATGTGGCAAAAGTACCATTCTTTTCTGACCCTTTTTGTTTCCTTTTAGAGGTGTCTAAATCATAATAGAACATAACTGTAGTAGAGCTAAATATGCACATTGCTTGTTACACCTGTTCACATTGTTTTAGATTTCTATTGCTCCATGGTAAACTTGGATAATACAGTATCATTTTTGAGCAGTTTTTTAAATGTAAATCTGTATCTTACTCAGAGTATATGTCTGAAGTTATTAAGGATATATCCCAACATTATTGGACCGTTTCCCTGAGTAATCAGAGGAATTCTGTTTCAAGATTATTGCTGTGTGTGGGCTGCGGCCCTCAATTAGAATGAAGTTAAATGGCCACAGGGGGATTAAGCTAAGAGGCTAGCATTTTTCACACTGTTAATATGTTTTGACTAATTGAGTTATTAGTCCTAGTTAGAGAAGAGCTTTTCTTATTATCAGTGGTCAGTTAAGGCTATTCCCGAAGGTATATTTTATCTTAAGTACTAGTCATGTGGTATCATTCTTCCCTTTTAGGATTCATATACATTGCACTTACTTGTACACCATTTTGAGGTTGATGCTTTTCTGTTCTCCATGGCTTTTTGCATTAAAAATTAAACAACAGATTTTTAAAAAGAACAAAGAAAAGGGTCATTGGGTTAAAGACCTAAGTAGTGCCATAACTCTGTAATTACATGTCTGTAGGACGATGTATATTGAAATATAAAACCACATGTTCTCTTTCTTTCTTTCTTTCTTTTTTTTAAATAGAGACAGGGTTTCACCGTGTTGGTCCGGCTGGTCTTGAACTCCTGACTTCAGGTGATCCTCCTGCCTCGGCCTCCCAAAGTGTTGGGATTACAGGCGTGAGCCACCGTGCCCGGCCTACCACATGTTTTCTTGGTGCTTTACATGCATATGGCATGTTGTTTCTCTTTATTCCTGCTCATCTTTCATTAAGTCATAAATGCCCCAAGAATAACCAGTCTGTGTGTGGTACAGTGGGTCTAACAGCCATCATATTAAATCTTCTTTGGCTTGCAATTATCTAGATGTTTCAGAAAGAACAAGTGGATCCTCTTCAAATGAAATTGCAGCAGGTGAATGGACTTGGCCAGGGATTAATTCAGAGTGCAGGAAAAGACTGTGATGTGCAGGGTTTAGAACATGACATGGAAGAGATCAATGCTCGTTGGAATACATTGAATAAAAAGGTGAGTGACAAGTGGGTAATAAGTATACTGGAAACAAGAGGGCATAGAAAAGATAGATCTGCAGGTCGGGAGTGGTGGTTCATGTCTCTAATCCCGGCACTTTGCGATGCTGAGGCAGGAGGATCATGAGGTCAAGAGATCAAGACTATCCTGGCCAACATCATGAAACCCATTTCTACTAAAAATATAAAAATCAGCTGGGCGTGGTGGCGCATGCCTGTAGTCCCAGCTACTTAGGAGGCCAAGGCAGGAGAATCGCTTGAACCTAGGAGGCGGAGGTTACAGTGAGCCAAGATCATGCCACTGCACTCCAGCCTGGGTGACAGAGTGAGACTCCATCTCAAAAAAAAAAAAAAAGTCAACAAACAGATGCTGGTAAAGCTGCAGAGGAAAGGGAATACTTAGACATTGTTGATGGGAATGTAAGTTAGTTCTGCCCCTGAGGAAAGCAGATTGGAGATTTCTCAAAGAACTTAAAACAGAACTACCATTCAGCCTAGCAGTCCCATTACTGGGTATATATCTGCACCTCCCCTCTTCCCGTGCTCCACAAAAAGAAATAGTTCTACCAAAAAGACATGTACACATATGTGCTTATTACAACACTATACACCATAGAAAAGACATGGAATTAGCCAGATGCCCATCAACAGTGGATGGATAAAGAAAACGTGGTACATATACACCATGGAATACTATGCAACCTTGAAAAAGAAGAAAATCATGTCCTTTAAAGCAACATGGATGCAGCTGGATAGAGGACATTACCGTAAGCAAATTAATGCAGGAACCGAAAATCAAATACTATATGTTCTTATTTATAAGTAGGAGCTAAACATTGGGTATTCATGGACATAAACATGGCAACTGTAGACACTGGGGGCTACTAGAGAGGGAAGGAAGGGAGGGGGACAAGAGTAGTGTTGATAAACTTAACTGTAGGGTACTGTGCTCACTACCGGGCTGATGGGATGCTTTGTATCTCAAACCTTGGCTTCGTGCAATATATCCATGTAACAAACCTGTGCATGTAACCCCTCAATCTAAAGTAAAAGTTGAAATTATATTAAAAAGGGAAAAAGAAAAGATACATCTGAATCTGAGATTTCCCAAAACCTGAATGGAAATAAAAATTTAGCAGTTCAAATCTATGGTTACTAAAAGGGGTCAGTAATAATTTGAAAACAACTTTCTTTTTTCTCATAATGAACCTACATGTCCATGATACAGGTGGCACAAAGAATTGCACAGCTACAGGAGGCCCTGTTGCATTGTGGGAAGTTTCAAGATGCCTTGGAGCCATTGCTCAGCTGGTTGGCAGATACCGAGGAGCTCATAGCCAATCAGAAACCTCCATCTGCTGAGTATAAAGTGGTGAAAGCACAGATCCAAGAACAGAAGGTAAGTGAGAATGTTGGGACAGTGAACTGTAACAGCCATAGGGAGTGGTAGACAACGCATTGGCTTACAGTTTAAGAAGGAATTCGGGAGTTTTCATAGAATCCTAACCTACTTTGTGTGATCCTGAAAGGAAAGGTGGAAATTGATTTTATTTATCTTACTTAAATCTACTAGTTTACTGTGGCATATAGTAGTAGACTGTACAATTTTACCTGTTTATGTATCCTAGTTCAGTGTTCATCCACAATTTTATGTTAAGAGGGTTTTGGTGTTTTCAGGGTCAGTAATATTCTAGATAGTGTTGTATATCATTTACAGAGTTTTATCTGTATTTTTTTTGTTGGTTTAATTTCTATTTTAGTGAAATTTTTTTTTTCCTCAGCCTTTTTTTTTTTTTTTTTTTTTTTTGAGACTGAGTTTCGCCCTTGTTACCCAGGCTGGAGTGCAGTGGCACGATCTCGGCTCACCACAACCTCCGCCTCCTGGGCTCAGGCAGGCAATTCTCCTGCCTCAGCCTCCTGAGTAGCTGGGATTACAGGCACGTGCCACCATGCCCAGCTAATTTTTTGCACTTTTAGTAGAGACGGGGTTTCACCATATTGACCAGGATGGTCTCGATCTCTCGACCTCGTGATCCACCCGCCTCGGCCTCCCAAAGTGCTGGGATTACAGGCTTGAGCCACCACGCCCGGCTTTTCTCAGCTTTATTGGTGTATAGTTGACAAGTAAAAATTGTAAATGTTTATGATATACAATGTGATGTTTTAATACAGTATACATTGTGAAATGTTTACAGTAGTCAAAATAATTTAATATATTCATCACCTCAAATGTTAATCATTTTTTAGGGCATTTTCTCTTGGTTCAAAGGAAGTTCCCTGTTAGTCACATAATGACAGTCACTGGTCCATTTAAAAATTTTAAGTGTGTGGGGGCCGGGTGCGGTGGCTCACGCCTGTAATCCCAGCACTTTGGGAGGCTGAGGCGGGCGGATCACGAGGTCAAGAGATCGAGACCATCCTGGTCAACATGGTGAAACCCTGTCTCTACTAAAAATACAAAAAATTAGCTGGGCATCGTGGCACGTGCCTGTAATCCCAGCTACTCAGCAGGCTGAGGCAGGAGAATTGCCTGAACCCAGGAGGTGGAGGTTGTGGTGAGCCGAGATTGCGCCATTGCGCTCCAGCCTAGGTAACGAGCAAAACTCCATCTCAAAAAAATAATAATAATTCAAAAATAAAATAATAAAAAAATAAAAGTTTTAAGTGTGTGAAAAGTATGTGAGTGGTGAGAACTGTGCTATATCTCATGTTTTTGCTTCAAGGATGAAACAAACTTATTTTACTCAATGAAGCTCAGGATTTGGTGGGTTGGTTTCTTTTGTTTTTTGTTTTTCTTCCTAGTTCAGATTTTAAAATGACCTGTGTTACCACTTTTCATTGTCTTTAAACATGTATATAATAGTTGCTCCAACGGCTCCTAGATGATCGGAAGGCCACTGTAGACATGCTTCAAGCAGAAGGAGGCAGAATAGCCCAGTCAGCAGAGGTTGCTGACAGAGAGAAAATCACTGGACAGCTAGAGAGTCTTGAAAGCAGATGGACTGAACTACTCAGTAAAGCAGCAACCAGGTAAGCCCAAAGGAATTTTGAGGAGTGGGTCAGAGGTTTGTTTTGTTGTTTTTTGACTTACTGTCACTGAAGTGCTCTGTAAGTTCTTCTGTGATTCATATAGATTTTTGGAAGGTGTTTAATGGCTTTTATTTGAAATGGGATAAGATTTTAAAGATGATCCTCATAACCAGAATCACACTCAGGAAATGATCTCCAGCATCCTCATAAATTTCCAGGAGCTGGAAAACTCATTCCTCTGTGTGGTGGTTCTGCTGTAGTATAATCATAGTTCCAACAACAGACACAAACTCCTACAGTCCAGCCAAGTTACTTTCTGAGTTTTTGAAACAGATTTTCCCCCCTTATATTTATAAATAATGCTTTTGATACTAGGAATTGAAATGTGTCATATTTCACTTCTCTTGGCTTATTCTAATAGTAGATTTTTTTTTACCTTTAAGAGCTAGTCTTTGGTTCTGTTAAATTTCTGGGAATTCAGGAGATGCATGAACTTTCCTCAATAAATGGTCAAAAAAACAGGCAACAAATCTTCCTCCTCTAAGGAAACATTTCCTTTCTCTTTCCATAGCTATAAGTAACTTGAGCTGACATCACATAGACGTCTTTACTTTTATACAGTCCCCAGTTTTAAGATTAAATACCAGCTAATGAGAAATCAGTCAGAGAGTCAATCATTTGTTACTGTATCCTTTACGTTTCCTAGGCAGCCTATGGCAGTCTTCATATAATTCCTTTTTCAGTCTTTTTACATCCACTTGCCCATGACTTGCTTATTCCTTACCTGGGTTGCAAAGTATGGCTTGCCCATATTAATGGAAGAAACAAAATGGAAAGAGTTTAACTTACTTGTATTTCTACATTTTATACTGCTGCTTTTCTTTTCTCTCTGTCCATTTCCAGTAATGGTACCATTAGCTTTCCAGTTTCCTAGGCTTAAAACCTCTACCCTATTTTTACTCTTTTTTAAAATTTTTCTTTTGTGCCCCACATCTGTCAGCATGCTAAATTCTATCTGTTTTACTTCACATTGTCTTTCCTGTCCATCTGTTTCTCTAATTCCCACTCTCCCCTCAGTTCATGACTTACGAGCTCTCACTAGGTCTATTGAGATAGCTTCTTCAGTAGTCACAGTACTCTATCACTTACCCTCTGGTCTTCCCCTTCCCATCCCCCAGCTGCAGGTGAACCTTTCTGAAATAAGCCTCTAATCATAGCTTTTCGAGCTCAGAGACATTTAATTGACTCCCTGTTAAAATAAAACCTTCAGCTTATGACACTGACGCACCGCCTGCCATGCTAAAAAGGTGCTTAAAATAAAATCTAAACCCTTTAGCCCACCATTCAAAGTCCTCCTATTTGATCTTAACCCATCTTTCTTAGTTTCCACTATTATTATTCTCATTCCTGATATTATAGCTAAAGTAAGCTATATTCTGTTCTTTACTATCTTCTGACAAATTCCTAACTATGTGTTTTATGGTGTTATAATACATCTTTCATGAAATGCTTTTGTCCATTTCTCTTCTATAAAACCTTCCTGTATTCCCCAAGCAGGAATAATTTTTCCTGCCTCTTCACTGCCATAATTCTTTATCTGTACTTTGTATTATCATCATTATTTTAGGTACTTACCTCCCTGGTCCATAGACTCCTTAAAGTCATGGTTTGCTTATCTAATACATATTTTCATGACTCCTTCCTTCTGCCTTACTTGTTTCCATCCTCATAGCCTAATATAGTTTCTGGGCCAATATTTTGAACAGAAACAAATACCAAGAGTAGATATTTGATGCTTCTGAATTACTTTTGGCTCTTCTCCCTAAAAATACCTTAAATCTTATTACAATGAATTCTTTCACATTTTCAGATTCTAAAATCAAATGAGTAAGAAAGACATAAAAATAAGAGACAATTTTTAAAAAATGAAATTCTGGTTTAATAATTTTTAATGTATGTTTTACTTGCATTAATTAAAGATATATTTTGAAGGCTGGCATAAACAAACTAGGAGAGAAAGTTTTATACTTAGATTGCCACTTAAAATATGTTTTTCTTTATATTCAAACATAATTGAATTTCTAATAACCAAAATACCACATCTTTTAATTTAAACCACTTCTTATTAAAATAATTTTGTCAAGGCATAACTAGCATAGGGCCTGGCGTAAATTAGGTATTGAGTAAAGGTTTGCTGAACTTAGTGCATTATATACTCCCAGGCCTCTTCAAATGCCATATTTTTTAGTCTGTTTTTAGTAATTCAAAGACAACATTATGATCTTTCATTGTTAATCTATGTGCTAATACAGTTCTGTGGTGGTTGTCTTGTCTGTTCCCTGTCGGGCTGTCTCTAATATCCAGACTTCCTCTCCCCTTTGTAATTTGCTGCTTTTATTTTATAGAGTAAAACAAACCACAGATACTTTGAAAAGTACATCTCTTAGCCCCTCTATGGTCTCAAAGACAATCATGTATCCAAGGAAAAGCCAAGCTTAGTATGAATGTTATATTAAATAAGAATTAAGGTTCCAAGTGAGCTGTGAAGTCTATAATTTATTTTTGTTTGCTTGTTTTTGTTTTTGTTTGGCTGCTTTCTGTGTTGGCAAATTCAGCCAGTATGAGGTTTTTTTGTTTGTTTTTTTGTTTTTTTGCCTTAAATCTGTATTCAAAGTTAGGTTTGGGGGCTTGAAATTACCAGAAGCCTGACTGGATTTGGGGGAGTTGGAAAGAGAGTTCTAGTTCATAGGCAATATACTGTCTTTACTCTTCAGATATTCTCTTTACTCACAAATGAATGTAGTGACAGAGAAAATGAAAACAGACAACTTTTTGACTCCTTTAAACCTCATTTTAGTCACATGTTCAGGTGATATACATGCTACATTCTGTTTTGATTTGTGTCAATATGGTACAAGGAGACATTAGAAGGTTTGATTCTACTGTTGCTACTCAACTGGGTGATTGGACAAATCTTTCTATGAGCCTTCTGTATCAACTTTCTCTTTTATAACAGGGGATAATTATTCTGTCCACCTTACAAGATTATGTCGGAATGAGAATAAGTTAATTGTGTGAAGTCCTTTAAAACATAGAAATGCTACATAATATGTGTTCTGTTTACTGTTGGTATTTAAACGGTACCTGGTAAAGACTATTCTTTTACTGAGTATAGTACTATTATCAGTCTTAATGTGACTTTTTGCCTGAGCAGCTTGTTCTATATATTTGTATAGGCAAAAACAGCTGGAAGACATCCTGGTTCTGGCCAAACAGTTCCATGAGACAGCTGAGCCTATTTCTGACTTCTTATCGGTCACAGAGAAAAAGCTTGCTAACTCAGAACCTGTTGGCACTCAGACTGCCAAAATACAGCAGCAGATTATTCGGCACAAGGTAGGAAGTGGTTACAGTAAATGAAAACAGAAAACTGGAATTAGAAATCCTAGAAATGAGAAAACTGCCTGCAGCATTCTAGAAGATACATGTTTTGTGGGTTTAACTTAAAATATGGTCAGATTATTATTTGGAAAAGTCACATTCTTGAAATACAAATGAAATGGACTGATAGGCTACCATATGAGTAAACAGCTTTTGTTCCCAATTATTGTATTATTTTTGCCCTTCAGTAGGTGAATTTTATAATTGTTTAATTTGTTGTATCATTTGCTATTCATCATTTTGTGTTTACTTTTCATTTATTTTGTTTCTGTTGTTCATTTTTTCCATCTGGATTTCCAGGCTCTGGAAGAAGACATAGAAAACCATGCAACAGATGTGCATCAGGCAGTCGAAATTGGGCAGTCCCTCTCCTCCCTGACATCTGCAGAGCAGGGTGTGCTGTCTGAAAAGATAGACTCATTGCAGGCCCGATACAGTGAGATTCAAGACCGCTGTTGTCGGAAGGCAGCCCTGCTTGACCAAGCTCTGGCTAATGCTAGGCTATTTGGGGAGGATGAGGTGGAGGTGCTCAACTGGCTGGCTGAGGTTGAGGACAAGCTCAGTTCAGTGTTCGTAAAGGATTTCAAACAGGATGTCCTGCACAAACAGCATGCTGACCACCTGGTATTCATGTTTCCATTTTTATTGGTTATGTTACTCAGTTATTTAGTTATTTTGATTCATGTCCCTCTTCGTTTCTTTTCTTTTTTTTTCATCATAGCAAACACTTCAACTTTATTTTATACACAAGTGCATAGTTTGTGGACTTGATGCTGATTGCTAATCTGTTTTTGGATGAGTCCATGGAAATATTTACATTTAACAAATTGAATCAATAATTCCAGAAGATGGTACAGGGTATAGTCAGGGCCCATCTGAACTCCATCTTATGATTTACATCATTAGGTGATGGGTCACTAAGATTCTGTTTGAGCAGTTTATGAAAGAGGATGTAGTGCCCAGGATTTGATCATACAGTTAAAACTTTCAGGATATTTCTGGATTTGGTCAAATCCCAGGGATTCCGTGTCATCTTTTTTTTTTTTTTTTTTTTTTTTTTTTTTATTTTTATTTTTTAAAGATGGGGTTTCACCATGATGGCCAGGCTGGTCTTGAACTCCTGACCTCAGGTGATCCACCCACCTCGGCCTCCCAAAGTGGTAGGATTACAGGCGTGAGCCACAGCGCCTGGCGTCTGTGTCATCTTAATAGAAAGAAGAGTTTGCCTTTTTCATTTCATTTTTAAGAACTCTGTTTAGGAGTAGTAAAAATAGGCTAAGTAATTTTCCTAATAGTCTGATTCTTTTGCTTCATTAGCTTTAAATATGAAGAGAGTTTTTAATCTGGATTCTGATTTAAGTCAATCTGTTCTTACTGAATTTCTTCTCGAACTTTCTGATTATTCCTTATTTTGGACACAGTAGACAATTTTGCTGAATTTCACTTCTGCCTTTCTTGGGTTCAGGTTTGGTACCAATAGATGGGTAAAGCTGATATAATTCTAAATCTTTTCTCATCCAGCACATAGGAAAGCTTACCTATAGGTATTTGATTTAATTATTGTGATAGTCAATGGGCTAACCAAAGAGAAAATAAGGGGATCAAATATCTGATGTTTGAATGACACTAGTATTAATCTCTTTACTTTAAATTTGGTCTCTTAAAGGTCTCACATTTTGTTTCCTTTGTAGTACCATAGTTTTGGGATTAATGATAATCCTTTCTTTCAGGCTTTAAATGAAGAAATTGTTAATAGAAAGAAGAATGTAGATCAAGCTATTAAAAACGGTCAGGCTCTTCTAAAACAAACTACAGGTACTTTGAAAAGTGCATCTCTTAGCACCTCTGTGGTCTCAAAGACAATCATGTGTCCAAGGAAAGAAGTTCCCTGCATTAGTCTCTTCTCTATGTATATATGAGAAGCTTAATATTCACTGATTATATTCCCTACTCTGTGCTCCAGAAGGTTGTTTCCTGCTAAATCTTTTGAAAACTAAAAAGTTATCTCACGTCCAGTTATAGATAATGATTCCTTCTCTCCTTCAGTATCGAATGCCAGCATCCACTGAAAGGTGCTGGGAACATCTAGAAACACTTGAAGCCAAACTCAGATTTTAATAATTCAGAAGTGGCTTCTTTTATCAAGTGGAAAGTTTATTTCCCATTTACCCTTAGTATGGGATAAGTGAAATCATTGCCACAGCGAGAGCATCTATGAAATTAAAGCTCTGATTTGAAGAAAAGGGGATCAGAGACTCCTCATTCATAGATCTCTTAAATATGAGTAATTGTGTGCTGTCTTCCACAGGTGAGGAGGTGTTACTTATCCAGGAGAAACTAGATGGAATAAAGACTCGTTATGCAGACATCACAGTTACTAGCTCCAAGGCCCTCAGAACTTTAGAGCAAGCCCGGCAACTGGCCACCAAGTTCCAGTCTACTTACGAGGAACTGACAGGATGGCTGAGGGAGGTGGAGGAGGAGCTGGCAGCCAGTGGAGGACAGTCTCCCACAGGGGAGCAGATACCCCAGTTTCAGCAAAGACAGAAGGTGAGCTGCCATTTTAGTGTAAAAGGAAAAAAAGACTTTGTCTTTGTCAGAATCCTTAAGTTTTATCAACCTTTACCTTAAATATAAAGTAAAAATGTGTGCCCTCCCTTTCTTGTTTACTCATGGACAGTAAGATTTGACATAAAGATATATATGTTACATATGTGTTATATAAAGAAATTGAATCTCAAATCCCTAAAAACTTTGCTTTGTAATGTTTTATAACTTACGTCTGTTATTTATTCTCCAAAGAATGCGTCATGGTTTTATTTGATCTTTCTGCAAGATCTAGTGTAGTTCTAGATGCATAGGAATATTATTTAAGTACTTGTTAGGTTAAATACTGAGCCTTTGGTTAAAGCATTATTTATCATTTCTGGTGAAGTAAGGAGGTGAAGGAAGTATTAGTTGTTTTTAACCCAGAGGCAGTCTGGCTCAAAAAGTCTAACAGACCGTTCTAATCAAGCAACAGTGACGTCTAAAGTCAGGCTTCAGAATGATTGAAAAATCTGAGATGAGAAAAAAATAACTGAAGGAAGGAGGTCAGAGTCCTGCTGGGATGTGTGGTAGAGATAGCATTTTCCACCCAGCACAGCTGCTGATGTGCTTTATTTAGCAAGATATGGCCTGAAAACTCTTTTTCCCTCCTTAGGAATTAAAGAAGGAGGTCATGGAGCACAGGCTGGTGTTGGACACAGTGAATGAGGTGAGCCATGCTCTCTTAGAGCTGGTGCCCTGGAGAGCCAGAGAAGGGCTGGATAAACTTGTGTCTGATGCTAACGAGCAGTACAAACTAGTCAGTGACACTATTGGACAAAGGGTGGATGAAATTGATGCTGCTATTCAGAGATCACAACAGGTAATGTTTATAACACCTCTGCATTTATATTTTAGACAGTATTGATGTGGGAGATAGAATACTGTGACCCACATAAATACAGACTCAGAAATAAGAATGAGCTTAAGCTAAGTCTGGTGGAATAAATATGTTTTGTTGAATGGGAAATGATTGGGTAGAAGTTTGTGAGGATGGATTCAGTTTTGACCAAAATACTTGACCCCTTTGAGTAGAGAAGTACTTGGAGAAGAATCTACATGAGGCCTTTTCTTAGTTAATGCCCTGCTAAGAAGGCCGATGATGATGGGAGTAGATAATATCTAGATTTCAAAAGTTCCAAATGATCACAATCTTAGTTTGACGTAATTAATTCTCTTAGCATTAGATAGAAGAGGGGAAGGAATCAAGAACTATAATTACTATGAAATATGCAAACCAAAATAGCAGAGCTATCTAAAATAGAACCTTCTTAGTAAACACAGGTGTCATATTTCCCTTGATCTTTTTTCCTTCCTGCTCTCTGGAAAGAAAAAGTCTTTTTTTGTGTGTGTAGCTGAATACACACCTCTTAATGTGCCATAGTACAAAAAAATAAGTTAATATAACGCCTTAAGATCATAGTGATAAGTGTATGCTTTTTGAACCACAGAGCAATTTGCTCCAAGTGCAAGTATATTCCCAATGTGTCTTTAGAGTTATCCCTAATCTTGGCCAGGTATTTCAATATGAAACTTATTGTGCTTGGGAGAAGCTTATTTTAAATATAAGTGTATACTGGCAAGGTTGAAGAGGAAGAGATAAAAGATTGGGGAGGTCAGGCACCGGAGACTGGCCTCACACCTATAGTCCCAGCACTTTAGGAGGCTGAGGCAGGAGAATCCCTGAGGCACCAAGGGTTCAAGACCAGCCTGGGCAACATAATGAGACACCATCTCTACAGAAATATAAAAAAATTAGCCAAGTGTGGTGGCATGTGCGTGTATAGTCCTAGCTATTAGAGAGGCTGAAGTGGCAGGATCACTTGAGCCTAGGAGTTAGAAGCTGCAGTGAGCTATGATTGTGCCACTACACTCCAGCCTGGGCAACAGAATGAGACTCTGTCTCTGAGGGACAAGGATGGGGGAAGATTGGGGAGCCCTCATGAAGTAACAGTCACGTAGAACATGTTTTTGGTTTTTGTTATTACATAACCATTTAAAAATCTATTGTTAAGCAGGGCACAGTGGTTCACGCCTATAATCCCAGCACATTGGGAAGCCAGGAAGGGCAGATCATGAGGTCAAGATATTGAGACCATCCTGGCCAACATGGTGAAACCCCATCTCTACTAAAAATACAAAAATTAGCCAGGCGTGGTGGCACGTGCCTGTAGTCTCAGCTACGCGGGAGGCTGAGGCAAGAGAATCGCAGGACATGGGAGGTGGAGGTTGCAGTGAGCCAAGCGCTACAGCAAGACTCTGTCTCAAAAAAAAAAAATGTGTTCTTCTGGGGTCTTATGCTGCTTCAGCTGAGCGAGCACTTCCAAGTTAACTTGACTCTGCTGTCTACTGCCATATTAGGTATATATTTAAACATCTGACTAAACCTGCTACTGTTCATGTCTAGGTAGGAAAGAGCATTGGCAGGAAGAGTATAGTCTCAAGAAAACACTGATTAGAGGTATATTTCTTTTGAAGGAGATTGGTTTCTATTGTTATTTCTAGCTGTAGAAACAATAACTGGGTTCTGGAACTTCTTCTAAAGAAATTGAAATATGATCAATTCTAACTTGTTTGCCCCTTCATTTGTGATTTTATGAAATTCTTCCCAGTTTTGACTCTACCTTGTGAGATATAAACCGTATTACTGAAAATCAGGCCTTGCTATGTTGAATAAATTATGGTTCTAAGAAGGAGACTTGGTTGTATATAATTTCTTTATTTTTCTTTAATGCATCTATTAGTATGAGCAAGCTGCTGATGCAGAACTAGCTTGGGTTGCTGAAACAAAACGGAAACTGATGGCCCTGGGTCCAATTCGCCTGGAACAGGACCAGACCACAGCTCAGCTTCAGGTACAGAAGGTATGTGCCCGCCCTGTCCTGAGCTAATAGAATCATCAATAACTTAGAGTCACTAAGTTATCCCATGTCAGGTAGAATAATTTAATGACATGATGGTAAATAGAAACTAATTTTATACATACTTGGTTGAGATGAGGAAGAATTTTTTTTGCTTTGTGAAAAAGAAAAATACACCTATTAATCCAGGAAAGAAAAATTAGCAGTTTCTGGCTGGGCACGGTGGCTCATGCCTGTAATCCCAGCACTTTCGGAGGCCCAGGGCGGCCAGATCACCTGAGGTCGGGAATTCGAGACCAGCCTGACCAACATGGAGAAACCCTCTCTGCATTAAAAATACAAAATTAGCCAGGTGTGGTGGCGCATGCCTGTGGTGCATGCCTGTGCTCGGGAGGCTGAGGCAGGAGAATCTCTGGAACCCAGGAGGCAGAGGTTGTGGTGAGCCGAGCCGAGATCACACCATTGTACTCCAGCCTGGGCAACAAGAGTTACACTCCGTTTTTAAAAAAAAAGAGAAGAATTAGCAATTTCCTTGGTGATTTTTAGGAGAGTAGAAATTTTTGTAAGCTACTAAAAAGAAACTAAAGAAGATGTTGGATAAGCAAAGTGTCAAACTATTTAAGAACAATTTTTGATGTGGCTTTTTCGTAGATTGTGTCTTAACATTCAGAAACACAGATAAGGGTCTTTTTACTTCTTGACTTAACTACAGTTTACTTTTCAAAGGCTTTCTCCATTGATATTATTCGACACAAAGATTCAATGGATGAACTCTTCAGTCACCGTGGTGAAATCTTTGGCACTTGTGGGGAGGAGCAGAAAGCTGTATTACAGGTGAATTATATTTATTTACTTGCCGTATTGTTCCTGTCTTGATTGTGGTGAATTAAAAGCACAATTGTGAAATGAGGGTTTAAGGGGGTTTTTTTTCCTCCTGGACTTTTCTTATAATTGTTATTAAAGTCCAGCTTGATGTTCTAGGGATTTCAGAATCCTAACCCTGTGTGCACAAATGTCTAAAACAACCATTCTGTATAATGTGAAATATATTGCAAATCCTTATTCTTTTTAACAGAGGAATTGTTACTTATCCTCACTCCGCAGGGAACAAGTTTTGAATTACTTTTCAAGGTATTTATGGTAGATTTTTTTTAGAACCGTATGCAGATATTAATTTCTTCTTCATATCCTTCTAAAAGGTCATACCTATTTTTAAAAGGATTGGTCAAGAGAGTTTGTAGACAAGTTTTGTTTTGTTTTATAAAGGATATGGTAAACCGAAGTTTCCTTAGAAATATTCATAAACTAAGCCACTCATCCTAAACATTTGAAACATAAATGGCAGCTTTCTGGAGACTTCTTTTTAATCAGAAGAAAAATGACAGATAAAATTTGATGGGCAAAAATTCCATCGTACCGTCTTAGATGTTCAGTTTTAAATTGATCCATTATAACACCACCATATTGGCCAGGTGCAGTGGCTCACACCTGTAATCCCAACACTTTGGGAGGTCGAGGCAGTCAGATAGCCTGAGATCAGGAGTTTGAGACCAGCCTGACCAACATGGAGAAACCCCATCTCTACCAAAAATACAAAAATTAGCTGGACATGGTGGCAGTTGCCTGTAATCCCAGCTACTCGGGAGGCTGAGGCAGGAGAATTGCTTGAACCCAGGAGGTGGAGGTTGCAGTGAGCTGAGATTGTGCCACTGCATTCCAGCCCAGATGACGGAGTGAGACTCTGTCTCAAAAATGTATATATAATAATAATAATGCTATATCTAAGATTGTGTCATTACTGAAAGATTAATTTTGCTGTGTTTTTCTTGTCCTATTTTACTGTTTTTTAAACTTATCTTTTAAAAATTATAGAAATAAAACATGTATGATGGGAAAATTAGAAAATTTCAGGCAAGTATAAAGAAAATAAAAATCACTTGTAATCTTTATTGAGATTTTAAAATAATTTAGTTGCATATTCTTTTAGACTTTTCAATGTATATATACCTATTTTTTTCTTAAGAGTTTATAATAGTAATACCCCTTTTTTTTACTCACATAGGAAAAGACAGAGTCTCTAATACAGCAATATGAAGCCATTAGCCTACTCAATTCAGATCGTTATGCCCGCCTAGAACGGGCCCAGGTCTTAGTAAACCAGTTTTGGGAAACTTACGAAGAGCTCAGTCCCTGGATTGAGGAAACTCGGACACTAATAGCACAGTTACCCCCTCCAGCCATTGATCATGAGCAGCTCAGGCAGCAGCAAGAGGAAATGAGGGTAAGGAGCATGCCAAGTTTCATTTTACTGCTCTAAAATGTTCTCTATAATTTATTTAAAAACAACATGTATTAGTATCTATAAGTGCAAGTTCTTCTGTATTACGAAGTTAATTCTTAATCAGTTAGAATTTCTTTGCATAATATATATATGAATTATTTTCTTTGTTGTTTAATATAAATTGATTAAACACTAAGATTATGGAGATGTCAAGAATCTTGGTATGATGGAGCTAAAGAACTAACTAAAAATCAATGGAATTTAAAATACTTCCAGGGACAATGGGGTGCTGTTATACTCAAGGTATGGTTGGATGGCACTTTCTACTTAGTTAGGCACCAACTGGAGTGAAAGCTGTGAGAGAATGTCCGAAAGCATTTGCTCTGTATAGTTAATGACACTTTAAAATGTTTATTTTTGGTTTATGGCTTGTGCTTATTGCTATTCCTGTAAGTGGAAGGATGTAAACTGGACGTAGCCAGCAGTAAAGTCAAGGAGTGGTTGGATTGCCAAAAATGTTGCTATTCATAGCTTATCCAGCTTGGTATCTCAGTCTGGGAGGTAGACAGTTATTAAACCATGTAGAGTAAAATAGACTGCATAGAAGTACTTAAGAATACAGAAGAGGCCGGGCGCAGTGGCTCACGCCTGCAATCCCAGCACTTTGGGAGGCCGAGGCAGGTGGATCACGAGGTCAAGAGATCGCGACCATCCTGGTTAACATGGTGAAACCCCGTCTCTACTAAAAATACAAAAAATTAGCTGGGCATGGTGACGCGTGCCTGTAATCCCAGCTACTTGGGAGACTGAGGCAGGAGAATTGCCTGAACCCAGGAGACGGAGGTTGCGGTGAGCTGAGATCGCGCCACCATTGCACTCCAGCCTGGGTAACAAGCGCGAAACTCCGTCTCAAAAAAAAAAGGAGTACAGAAGAGACTGGAGTAGATTTGTATGACACAGGTGGTAGGAAGAGAGGATGTTTTCAGGAAAGCTGCATCATAACTGACTTTTTAAAATTAAGAGAATTGGGTAGTGTTAGAACCTAAGATTTAGGTGTTTTTTTGTTTTCTCATAAATGCTGGGCCTTGCTGGATTTTAAAAATTTTGTTTGTTCCTTTCCTTAAAGTTGATATTAGCTCTGATCAAAGTATCTAAATAAGTAAACTGGTATAAAAGTACTCATTATGGTTTAATTCTTCTTTACCTAGCAATTAAGGGAATCTATTGCTGAACACAAACCTCATATTGACAAACTACTAAAGATAGGCCCACAGCTAAAGGAATTAAACCCCGAGGAAGGGAGAATGGTGGAAGAAAAATACCAGAAAGCAGAAAACATGTATGCCCAAATAAAGGAAGAGGTGCGCCAGCGAGCCCTGGCTCTGGATGAGGCCGTGTCCCAGTCTGCACAGGTATGTGTATGTCTGACACTCACAACCTTCAACTGTCTGCTGTTCTAAACAAGAGGTCTCTGTATCAGGTATGCCTTTGTGCTCAGGAATTTCCAGACCAGCATGTTTATAATACATGATTGGTAGATGGAACAGAAAGCTTAGCCTATCTGCATTTTTATTACAAGGAACATTGGCATACTGGCATTCTAAGGAGAGTGAAATGCATCTTGGCTGGTATATATCGTCTGTTGATGGTTTCTCTGAAAACTTTATGTTGTGATGATCCTTTTAGCAGATGATTTTGGATAAATTTATCTTGCAGATTCGAAAGCAGTGACTACCTCAAAAAAATACTTCTTACTGGGCCTGTTACTTTTTGCTTTAGAGCCACAGCACATTAGTTTTCTTAAGCAACCAGCTAACTCATAGTTCATATGCTTGAGTAGGGAGTAGTAAAAGCCAAAAAGAAGCAAAAACCACCAGCAGAGGAGTTTAAAGCATGTAACTACATACTTTCAACTAATATATTACTCTTAGTGGTACTGTTGTCATGTCTGGGTATTTTATTCCTATGTTTAGTCAATATTCTTGGTTAATATTTGTACTTACTCAAGTTTCTCCCCCCACCTGCCGTCCCATCTCTCACTCACATTGTGGAATGTGTTACTTTGTGTTGTTGCTGCCTGCTCCTGTCTTCCCCACATCGTCACATTTCATTGTTGTGTTGACCGCGCCCACCATTACAGATTACAGAGGTAAGGTTCCCATCCCCGTTGGGACTAGGGTGTTCTTATAATGCTGAAAATTAAGGTCATTGCCTATGAGGAAATTTCCCTTAACTTTGTTGGAATAAATTTAATTAGTGCAGTTTATTACGCCAGTTTCATTTGGGGTGGAACCTAGAAGTGAGAGAGTGATGGGAAGTGATTTTGTTAAGAAGTCCCACCGTGTTTTTTCTATAGGACACTTGAAATTGGTAAGCCTTTCTCTAACTAAAACCAGAGTTGGTTTGAGATAGGTTTTTCTTAGGCGGCAAGCTTATTTGTTTTGCTCTCTTTTCTCCCCTCTTTGCAGCAAATTTTAATGAGAACTTTTCAGTTGTAGTCATGTTATTCAAAGTACCAGAAAAGTGGGAAGGTAATAATTCTTTAAGAATAAGGTTAGATTTGGTCTTCCTTAATTACCTTTCATTATTCCAACATTTTTTTCTCTCTTATTGTTCCATAGACGGGTTGTTAAATTGCATGCCATGATACTTTTAAACTATAAGTCATGTAGCATATTAAGTTCCCCATCCATTTACACAGCTGGTAGAGGGCATCTAATTTGTTGGTCTAGTCTGTTGCATGCAACTGTCATCTCAGATGTTGACATACTGACTCTAAGCAGTTTTACAGTCTTGTCCCTTTTTTGTTACATTAGTTGGAATAGGAGAAATATTGTGGCAGCACTAAAAATTTGAATTGGTTTCTAGTATATTAATATATTTAGATTCTTAAAATAAATATTGGCTTTTTTTTTTTTTTTCTAATGGGCCAGCTCTGGTATACTATGCCCAAAACAGTTTTGGTTTTGTTTGTTTTTGTGTTTTTTTGAGACAGAGTCTTACTCTGTCACTCAGGCTGGAATGCAGTGGTGCAGTCTTGGCTCACTGCAACCAATTCTCATGTCTCAGCCTCCCTAGTAGTTGGGACTACAGGTGCGCACCACCACACCCGGCTAATTTTTGTATTTTTAGTAAGGACAGGGTTTCACCATGTTTGTCAGGCTGGTCTTGTACTCCTGACCTCAGGTGATTGCCCACCTCAGTCTCTCAAAGCGCTGGGATTGCAGATATGAACCAACATGCCTGGCCCAAAACAGTTTCTTAACAGCCACTAGGCTGTTATCCTAAGCAGTAGTAGGACAATATCTCGTCTTTATTCCCTAACGTTTTCCCAAGAAGAGTGATGAGGTATGCTGTGATGGTAATGTTCCAATGTTTGTTTAGTTTCATGATAAAATTGAGCCTATGTTGGAGACACTGGAGAATCTTTCCTCTCGCCTGCGTATGCCACCACTGATCCCTGCTGAAGTAGACAAGATCAGAGAGTGCATCAGTGAAAATAAGAGTGCCACCATGGAGCTAGAAAAACTGCAGCCATCCTTTGAGGCCTTGAAGCGCCGTGGAGAGGAGCTCATTGGACGATCTCAGGGAGCAGACAAGGATCTGGCTGCAAAAGGTGCTTGATGACTGTCATTATTTTTAAAGAAAATCAACAGAATGAATTCTAGGCTGTGGTTATCTTCAGCATTCTACCTGATTCATTTATTTCCTTGAATGCAAAGGCAGTCCCCAGTAATGAGTATTCCAGAAAGTTATTGGAAAATCATTTGGCATTCAGAACACATTTCCCCATTGAAACAAGGTTACAATTGGTAGTTAGATTCCCAGGCCAGGAAACAAAAGCTCCTTTAACCCCAATGTGAGTAAACTACAGTATCAATAGTGGGTAGAACATAGCTAGCTTTTGTAATGCTTTCCATGGGAAACATACAAGTTTAACATAGAATACTGGAAACAGAGTTCTCATCTCAGCCCTTTTGTAAGTTAAGGGTTTTCTGTCTTAGTACTACCTTTATAGTAGATGATAGCTCATTTTTGCATTACTTCTGTGATCCCTTTATGTGGGAGACCAATGTAAGAGGAAAATGCTAGTGTAGAAATAATAGGCTGGGTGTGGTGGCTCACGCCTATAATCCCAGCACTTTGGGAGGCCGAGGCGGGTAGATCACCTGAGGTCAGGAACTTGAAACCAGTCTGGCCAACATGGCAAAACCCTCTCTCTACTAAAAATACAAAAATTAGCCAGGCCTCATGGCGCATTCCTGCAATTCCAGCTACTCAGGAGGCTGAGGCAGGAGAATCTCTTGAACCTGGGAGGCAGAGGTTGCAGTGAGGTGAGATCACGCCATTGCACTCCAGCTGAGATTGCGCCGCTGCACTCCAACCTGGGCAAAAACAGTGAGATTCCATGAGATTCCATTTCAAAAGAAAGAAAAGAAATAATAAACCTAAAATAGAAAATTATCCTTTAGGCCGGGCGCGGTGGCTCAAGCCTGTAATCCCAGCACTTTGGGAGGCCGAGGCGGATGGATCACGAGATCAAGAGATCGAGACCATCCTGGTCAACATGGTGAAACCCCGTCTCTACTAAAAATACAAAAAATTAGCTGGACATGGTGGCGCGTGCCTGTAATCCCAGCTACTCAGGACGCTGAGGCAGGAGAATTGCCTGAACCCAGGAGGTGGAGGTTGCGGTGAGCTGAGATCGTGCCATTGCACTCCAGCCTGGGTAACAAGAGCGAATCTCTGTCTCAAAAAAAAAAAGAAAAAAAAAGAAAATTATCCTTTAGTTATGAATACTTATTAGCATTTTTTTTTTTAAGATAGTTTCATTGAAAAGGTCAGAGTTAGATGGACTTTCTGAGTAGACCAGTTTCAGGTTCTTAGAGAAGTCCTATTCATATCTTTGGGTTTTTTTTTGTTTGTTTGTTTTTAACCTCCTCAGAAATCCAGGATAAATTGGATCAAATGGTATTCTTCTGGGAGGACATCAAAGCTCGGGCTGAAGAGCGAGAAATCAAATTTCTTGATGTCCTCGAATTAGCAGAGAAGTTCTGGTATGACATGGCAGCTCTCTTGACCACCATCAAAGACACCCAGGATATCGTCCATGATTTGGAAAGCCCAGGCATTGATCCATCCATCATCAAACAACAGGTCGAAGCTGCTGAGGTAAAAAGGAAACAAAACCCTTTCTTTTAGGTGTTTGTCCTCTGGAAAAAGCACTTTATCAAATCAAAGTAAGATATGTTAATTGCTTAGCCAGGCTGAGTACCTTAAAGGTTTTTTGAAATTGTTTTGTTTTGTTTTTTGACATGGAGTTACACTGTTGTTTCCCAGGCTGGAGTGCAATGGTGCAATCTCGGCTCACTGCAACCTCTACCTCCCAGGTTCAACGGGTTTTCCTGCCACAGCCTCCCAAGTAGCTGGGATTACAGGCATGCACCACCATGCCTGGCTGATTTCCATTTTGAGTAGAGACGGGGTTTCACTATGTTGACCAGGCTGGTCTCGAACTCTTGACCTCAGGTGATCCACCTGCCTCAGCCTCCCAAAGTGCTGGAATTACAGGCGTGAGCCACTGATCCAGGCCTAAAGTTTCTTTTTAAATTGAGAAATTCTCCACTTGAAAAAAAACCTGCTCATTATAGTACATTTTTTAAATACAGAAAAATGGATGGTAGAAAATAAAAATCAATTTTGGACTCATTATCTAGAGATAACAATTGTTACTTTGACATACTTTTTTCTAGTCTTTTGGGGCTTTTTTTTTTTTTTTTTTGAGACAAGTTCTCACTGTGTTACCCAGGCTGGATTGCAGTGGCATGATCTTGACTCACTGCAACTTCTACCTCCCAGGCTCAAGCAATCCTCCCACGTCAGCCTCCCTAGTAGCTGGAACTATGGTCACATGCCACCATGCCTGGCTAATTTTTTTAGTTTTTGTCGAGATGGGGTTTCATTTGCCATGTTGCCCAGACTTGCCATGAACTCCTGGGCTCAAGCACTCTTTCCAGCTCAGCGTCCCAAAGTCCAGAATTACAGGTGTGAGCCACTGCGCCTGGCCCAAGAGTCTATTTTTTACTAACAACGTTTCTCACCTCATATTGTCCATTTAGCATAAGCCAAGCATATCTTGATATTATTTCTTTTATTTCTTACTTTTATTTTAGCTATTTTTTCATATAGAAATTCCTTCCCTCCCAACCTTGGGTCAGTACCAATCCATGAGCCAGTTTTTAGGATGTGGCACAGAATTTATTCAAGATTTACTGTCAGCACTTAAATTTGTGACTTTTACTGTATTATTTTACCCTTGATCTCTTCCTCTGTAATACACAGTCTAGCTGCTGATTATAATTTCTTTGGAGGCAGGAAGGGGTGAACATTTGGTAAATTATTGATGCTCATGGTACCTTTTCTGTACTATTTTATATATACATACATCTATATGTCCTATATATTTTATATATATGAAAAATAGCCACTTTGAGTCTGAAGCTTTAGTGTCTAGATAAGTGAAACTGACAGTTATGTTGAGCATCTGCTATTGGGGTATAAAACACATTTGCAAAGTTTGGAAAGTTCTGTTTTGCTTTCTGTTTTGGCTTATATTGTGTTCATTTACATGTAGACTATTAAGGAAGAGACAGACGGTCTGCATGAGGAACTGGAGTTTATTCGGATCCTTGGAGCAGATTTGATTTTTGCCTGTGGAGAAACTGAGAAGCCTGAAGTGAGGAAGAGCATTGATGAGGTGTGGAGAAACGGATGAGGCATTCAGTTAAAACATTAGTGGGCTCAGACTGAAGAGTGGTGTTGATTGAAGAATCTGACTGAATGTTTTTCCCCTAGATGAATAATGCTTGGGAGAACTTAAACAAAACATGGAAAGAGAGGCTAGAAAAACTTGAGGATGCTATGCAAGCTGCCGTGCAGTATCAGGACACTCTTCAGGTGAGAGGCCAGGAGGTGACCACCAAGGAAACACAGGTCCTGTGTTTTGCCATTTTTGTAATTTTTGGAATTCAGCATAAGAGTGGATCACCTTCACAGGACTGCAGACCTACAATAGTGCTGTTTCCACAAATCTAGCCAAAGTTTCCCACTTGTAGTGAAAAAAGGTAGCGACATCTGTCTGAATTCCTACTCTTCCTGCCATTTTTATCATTGCCTGCTTATCAGAGTTAGCTTCATTCAGCTACATTGTGAAGCTGGCCTTACTCTGAAAGTCATTGCTTGCCAAAGGTTCCAAACCTAGGTTATCTTCAAGCACAATTTGGCTTGGCACAGTTGCTTCAGAACATCATGAGCTTGCTAGCTGGGATTGAGAAATCTTAGCTTTTATTCATATTTAGTATTTCCAAATTGTAGTTTATTTTGAACATTATCTTGATAATATTGGCTGCATTATTAAATCAGCATATTAATAAAGATCATTATTCCTTATCTGTGCCCCTTACCTAAAAATCACAAACAGCACAAGGTGCTTTGATTTATGTGTTCTTCTATTAGCAGGGATAATGCTAATTGTCTCCCAAATTCTTCTGGTTTTAATTTTGACTGTTCACATGTCTTTTGTTCTAGGCTATGTTTGACTGGCTAGATAACACTGTGATTAAACTGTGCACCATGCCCCCTGTTGGCACTGACCTCAATACTGTTAAAGATCAGTTAAATGAAATGAAGGTTTGTATCTGGGTATGGCTTTTGAAGAAGAGTTGTTTTAGTTTTTAAAGGTTTGATTTGATGTTAACATTGAGTGTGTTTTTGACAGGAGTTCAAAGTAGAAGTTTACCAACAGCAAATTGAGATGGAGAAGCTTAATCACCAGGGTGAACTGATGTTAAAGAAAGCTACTGATGAGACGGACAGAGACATTATACGAGAACCACTGACAGAACTCAAACACCTCTGGGAGAACCTGGGTGAGAAAATTGCCCACCGACAGGTAAGGCAGGTTGTAGATGACATCAGTGAACTACTCTCTGCTCTTTTCTAATTTTCTAATGAATGTTCTCTTTCTGTCTTTTCCTGAGTAGCACAAACTAGAAGGTGCTCTCTTGGCCCTTGGCCAGTTCCAACATGCCTTAGAGGAACTAATGAGTTGGCTGACTCACACTGAAGAGTTGTTAGATGCTCAGAGACCAATAAGTGGAGACCCAAAAGTCATTGAAGTTGAGCTCGCAAAACACCATGTAAGTATTTTCATTTTTGCATCTCTGACTCTAGTGATATGAGACCAGATTATTTGCCACCAGAAGCCTTTGAATGTTGTTTATACCTTAGAGAACCAAGTTTGATGGTATCTATAGAGATAAATTATGTTGTTCAACATTTTTTAGGTCTTAAAAAATGATGTTTTGGCTCATCAAGCCACAGTGGAAACAGTCAACAAAGCTGGCAATGAGCTTCTTGAATCCAGTGCTGGAGATGATGCTAGCAGCTTAAGGAGCCGTTTGGAAACCATGAACCAATGCTGGGAGTCAGTGTTACAGAAAACAGAGGAGAGGGAGCAGCAGCTTCAGTCAACTCTGCAGCAGGTACATGTGACATCCAAGTAAGGTAGGAAGAGCTATGCAGGTAACAGAAAGCCTAAGCCAGAGAGAGGAAAGCAATTTGAAAAGCAAAGAATCCCTTATATTTTGAGGGGAAGGTTCATACTTTGTTGTAACTTATCTGGAAAGAACAGCCTTTTTTTTTTTTTTTTTTTTTTTTTTTTTTTTTTGAGACGGAGTTTCGCTCTTGTTACCCAGGCTGGAGTGCAATGGCGCGATCTCGGCTCACCGCAACCTCCGCCTCCTGGGTTCAGGCAATTCTCCTGCCTCAGCCTCCTGAGTAGCTGGGATCACAGGCACGTGCCACCATGCCCAGCTAATTTTTTGTATTTTTAGTAGAGACGGGGTTTCACCATGTTGACCAGGATGGTCTCGATCTCTTGACCTCGTGATCCACCCGCCTTGGCCTCCCAAAGTGCTGGGATTACAGGCGTAAGCCACCGTGCCCGGCCCAAGAACAGCTTTTGATTGGGTAGTTCTTTTTTGAATTAGTTGGTAGCTCAGTCTCTTTATTCACTATTCAGTTAGTAGATCTTCACTGTAACAGATTCCCTTTTTTTCTTTGATCAAGTCAGCTCTCTCCCTATTCAGCAATACCTTAGTCATATATAGTCAATTCATCTGATTTTATCAGGCATCTATAATATGTTATAGTGAGGTCGGAAGGACTCTGCTAGATTCTTACAATAATATTGGCCCCATGCTAATCTAGCAACAGAACAACTTTGCTGGAGAGCAGCCCAAAATTCCTCCCTCAAGATAAATTCCTCATATGATCATTCGGAAAGTTTACTTTTTAAGCTGAGAATTGACTACTGACATGGTTGATATATCTTTTTCTCAAAAGGCCCAAGGCTTCCACAGTGAAATTGAAGATTTCCTCTTGGAACTTACTAGAATGGAAAGCCAGCTTTCTGCATCTAAGCCCACAGGAGGACTTCCTGAAACTGCTAGAGAACAGCTTGATACACATATGGTAATAGCAATTTTTTGAAATTGAGCATAAGCATACCATATTCAATAGCTTCTTTCCCAGTTCACAGTGATATGTCAATATGTATCTGGAAATCTATAGGGTAGTGCATTTTTACCAAAAATATTGTACAACACTTGGGGATTGCTGCCTGTTACAGGTTTCTCATACCTTACAGTAGGCAGCAGTAGTGACAGGGAAGGGTCAGCTGGAAATTTTGAGTTAATCAGTTTTATTGGCACACACGTATTAACTTGAAGCTGACAGCATCAAGAAGACATCTGTATAACACAGATGTGTTTGTACTTAAGAAGAAAACTACTTAGTGGGGGTTTAGGGAAATCAAATAGTCACTGACAGTATTTCAAGAATGCCTGCTAAAACAAAAGCAACATGATTTCTAGGCAAATTTTTCATGGAAAGGGGAAATAGATTATTGGAGTCTTTTGGGGGATCTCTAATCCTTAAAAAATGTTTTTTTTTTCTAAGGGTGATAAAATTATATTAATATTTTAATTTGTCACTTATTTAGTAAAATATGTTAACATTCACATTTTAATACAAATTAGTTTTAATATTAAGTAATTAGTATTTAATTATTACAATTAATTTTATTATTAAGTATGGTGGGTTTCATTCCCTTATAGCTCAGCACTTGAACTGAATCCAAAAGAATGGCTTTTAATCAAGATGAGACCTTCCTGAACTTTCCCAGACTCTGCTACAGAATCTATATGTATGTCTTTTCCAGAGAATTGGTATAATTGATATCTTTCCTGCCTTTTCTTGTAGGAACTCTATTCCCAACTGAAAGCCAAGGAAGAGACTTATAATCAACTACTTGACAAGGGCAGACTCATGCTTCTAAGCCGTGACGACTCTGGGTCTGGCTCCAAGACAGAACAGAGTGTAGCACTTTTGGAGCAGAAGTGGCGTGTGGTCAGCAGTAAGATGGAAGAAAGAAAGGTACAGTCTATGATCCCCCTATTTGAGTAATTTGCTGAGTGATAACAATTGCCATCTTATTTATATGAAGATTTTTTGAAGACCAGGGTATTGTAACAGAAGTTGCAGAACTGATTTCATCTGTGTCAAGTTGCATTGATGGTATAAGTTTCTGCCGTTATAATTTTGCTTTTATAATTATTCATTCTTTACCTGTTAAGACATTATTGCCAAACCTGCTGGTGCAGTGGCTCATACCTGTAGTCCCAGCACTTAGGGAGGCTGAGGCGGGTAGATCACCTGAGGTCATGGGTTCAAGACCAGCCTAACCAACATGGAAAAACCTAGTCTCTACTAAAAATACACAATTAGCCCGGCATGGTGGCGCATGCCTGTAATCCCAGCTACTCAGGAGGCGGAGGCAGGAGAATCTCTTGAACCCAGGAGGTAAAGGTTGTGGTGAGCCAAGATCAGGCCATTGCACTCCATTGCACTCCAGCCTGGGCAACAAGAGTGAAACTCCATCTCAAAAAAAAAAAAAAAAAAAAAGACATTACTGCCATTATTGCTCAGTGATGGATGGGCTTTGTGTCCTATATTGATGACCAATTTGTGTTCCTACTAAAAAATAAGGTTTTGTTGGAGTTGATGTCTTGGGGTTGAGAGATTGGGAACAGGGCATGTAGGAACTATGACTGATAATTCCCCACAAGGAATTTGGTTCTAATGTAAATGCAGTATGCAAGGAAATTTACTAAAAATCAGGAGAGAAGTAAATTGTATTACCTCTTCCCGTTCTTCCTCAAAAAAATTCTCTTCTCTACAAAAGTAAGAAACTTTATTAGGGATCAAAGTGTTTGCCCAAAAAGTTTATTTTTTATGAGTACAGAGCTTCACTGTATTTTTTGCTGGTCAGATCAAGTATGAAATATATATATATACACAGACACACACACACACACACACACACACACACACACACACACACAGACCTGTTGGCAACATTCACTCAATGAAGAGTTACTGAGCAAGTATATGCCAAGCACTGTGCTAAATTTATGGTGGAAATACTAAAGGCATTGACCCTATCATTGGGAAATTGATGGACAGAAGGGCATAAAACAAATAAATGAACATCTTGAGAGAAGCATTAATTTCCTAAAAACCTTCTAGCATGGGGTTGTGTAATTTGGTTATATAAAGAATGACCAAAAGAGTTACCTGTATGCTAATCCTTGGATAGGGCCAGGCCTGGTGGCTCACTCCTGTTTTTCCATCACTTGGGAGGATGATGGAGGAAGATTGCTTAAGGCCAGGATTTTGAGACCAGACTGGGCAAATATAGCAAGACCGCCATCTCTACAAAAATATTTAGAAATCAGCCAGGTGTGGAGGCACATGCCTGTAGTCCTAGCTACTTGGGAGCCTGAAGTAGGAGGATCGCTTGAGCCTGGAGGGTTGAGGCTGCAGTGAACCGTGATAGTGCCACCGCATTCTAGCCTGGGTAACAGCAAGAACCTGTCTCAAAAAAAAAAAAAAAACTAATCCTTGGACAGGCTGTCATCCATAGATCCTGCAGAAGGCAAAGCTGAGACTAAATAAACTGAGACAAATTCTAGCTCATAACCAAGAAATTTCCAGAGGGTTTTCTTCATAGTTGAGCAAAATACCTCAAGACATAGTTGCCCATCATCAGAATTGGTCAGGCAAAAGCTGAGTGTCAAGTATAGTTTATTATTTTTCAGGAACATTACCTTCAGAATCAGTAAAATCATTTATTAAATGTGTATGGTGCTATATTTTAAAAATATAAAGATCTGTAGATATAAAGAATATAAAGATATAAATTAGATATAAAAATATATCTTCTTTATATCTGTAAAGTAGACATACAAATGTAAAGAATATGGAGAATATAAAGAATATGTAGATAGAATGATGTGGAAAGAATTCCTACCATCCAGGAACTTGTAATATATTAATTGATAAACTTTTTATGTATTTGAGGTGAATTTCATTTTTCCACCTGACTTGTTTAGATGTACATTTTTATAACACTTATTATAATGGGTTTATTTTGGTAGGGGGGTGGGGTTACAAAAATAACCTGAAAGCACAAGGAGGAAAATAAAAATTATATATACTGCAGTCAGGTAGAATTAACAACAGTTAACATTTGTAGTGTACATCTTCGAGTTTTTTCTGTCAATATTTTGGAAATACTCATTTTTGTCGGCCTATCATTTTTACTTTGCCTGTGTAGTAGGTGGGCCAGAGGCAAAAGTCATCACCAAAAGTTTAGTGTAGGTATTTGAGGATGGAGTTTATGAACTCTGTGGGATTGAAGTGTACTTGTGGGGAGCAGCCTTTTCCGAATGAGCCGTTGCTGTTGCCATTCTTAGGTAAATGAAAATATCTGAAACTCTACATCTAGTGTTGTCAGATTTTTGCCTGGACTGTCTTGGCTTCTTTCATTACCTCTTCTTCTTATAGCATAGGCATAATTTTCAGATTCATATTTTCATATGCCATATTTTCTGAAAACATGTATTTAAACAAAGAGTACTACATTGAACATCATCTTTATAGTAAATTGCTTTTCATTTAGCTGTTTTTATACCACAAAAAGTACATTAAAGGAAACTGAAAATTGCCCAAAGCAGGTTGCAGATCCTGCGGCTGTCACCACTAAAGGGTTTACCCACTTTACCGTTACTGAATAGTTTTATTCCCATTCCAGGAAGTGGAGAGTAGCAGAGAAAGGAACTTAGCAGCTTATTGTGCTCTCTTTCCTTTTCCATGTACAGAGTTCTTGCCCACTTGATTCAGCCACTAGTATTAAAATGTCTCTTTCTTTACAAACAAAACATGTTTGGAGGTTGATTAAATGAGGCCTTCTTTTTAGAGGTCATTTCATTTGGTGAATTCATGCCTTTGTCATTGAAGCTATAATTCCTGAAAATGGCACTTTTTCTTTGTGTGTGTGTGTGTTTTACTTAAAATTCAGTCAAAGCTGGAAGAGGCCCTCAACTTGGCAACAGAATTCCAGAATTCCCTACAAGAATTTATCAACTGGCTCACTCTAGCAGAGCAAAGTTTAAACATCGCTTCTCCACCAAGCCTGATTCTAAATACGGTCCTTTCGCAAATAGAAGAGCACAAGGTAACTGATATTATCATGCTGCCTTCTTTTTGAAAGCACTAATTGAAAGAAATGCCTCTTTATCTTATCTTAAGCTTAAAAAGAGCACTGTTGTTCCCTCAGGTTTTTGCTAATGAAGTAAATGCTCATCGAGACCAGATCATTGAGCTGGATCAAACTGGGAATCAATTAAAGTTCCTTAGCCAAAAACAGGATGTTGTTCTGATCAAGAATTTGTTGGTTAGCGTGCAATCTCGATGGGAAAAGGTTGTCCAGCGATCCATTGAAAGGGGGCGATCACTAGATGATGCCCGGAAGCGGGCAAAGCAAGTAAGTTGGGGAAGAAAGATATTAATTCACTGAAGACTCTTGGGCTGCATGTACTGGGTCTCTAGAATGATTCTCAAACGTGCTGTATAGTGTATATAATCATTCCTGTTAACTTATTTCTTACTTAATTTTAGTTCCATGAAGCTTGGAAAAAACTGATTGACTGGCTAGAAGATGCAGAGAGTCACCTGGACTCAGAACTAGAGATATCCAATGACCCTGACAAAATTAAACTTCAGCTTTCTAAGCATAAGGTAAAGCAGTTAATTTCATTTCCTGAGCATGGTATTCACTAAAGCTTATAGCTTGCCAAAAATAAAAATCAGAGTTAGTAAAAAGACCAATTGGTTAATGTTTAAAAGTCAAGATGATGAAGTCAGGGTTCCATTTTATATTTAGGCAGTCTAATAATGATATTTGCTCATTTAAATAACAGTTTAAGCAAAGTAGTTTAGGAGTAACTGGTTAAAACTGTAGGCTTTTACAGATTGTCAGACACTTCTGTATATGGTATAAGCAAAAAATTATAAATTTCTTAGGGATAAGCTATGGTTAATTTTAGTTCAACGAAAGTGGTGATGTTCATACTTTATTTGGTTTCTAGCCTGAAAATTCAGATTCTTTTGTTCCAAATCAAAATGTCATCTGACTTTTAACACTTTTTTTTTCTTTTCTTTCTGGAAACATAGGAGTTTCAGAAAACTCTTGGTGGCAAGCAGCCTGTGTATGATACCACAATTAGAACTGGCAGAGCACTGAAAGAAAAGACTTTGCTTTCTGAAGATACTCAGAAACTTGACAATTTCCTAGGAGAAGTCAGAGACAAATGGGATACTGTTTGTGGCAAGTCTGTGGAGCGGTGAGCATGAATGTCTTCTTCAGGGGTCTAACTGGGATCCCAAAAGTAAGAGGCTGTTACCAGACTCTATAAAATGGTGATAAAGCTAATGTATCAGTAAGAGGTTTTGTACCATCTTAATGCCATCAGTTAGTTCAAAGAGCATTGTAAAGTAATTTGAATAAAATATATTAAAATTCTTATTTTAAACTTGAACCTTACTATATTAGAGGCCCATAAAATCAAACCAACAATAATAGAAGATCGGTAACTCAGAAATATTTGTAAATCATCAATGTGTAATACCAACAGCTGTCTTACTCACTGCTCTTGAACACTCCAAAGCCTCTACATGCATTACCTCATTTAACCATAATGATACCTGACCTTTGCTGGGCAATGTTGATAATTTAATCCTCATAACCACTGAGGTGGGTGCTACTTTTAGTGCTATTTTACAGATGAGAAAATAATCACAAAGAGGTTCTTAACTCCCCTAAAGCCACTCAGCTACTATACTGGCAGAGCTGAGGTTTAAACCACAGCAGTTTGGTTCTAAAAGTTGTACTTTCGTCTATTTATACCCACTATGCCATGCCAAATATTACAGTATTGCTACCCTATTTGTACTTTCCCCATCACCTTTTTTTTATTTTAATTTTTTTGGCTTTTTGAGACAGTGTCTAGCTCTTTTGTCCAGGCTGGAGTGCAGAGCTTACTGCAGCCTTCAACTCCTAGGCTCGAGTGATCCTCCCACCTCAGCCTCTTGAGTAACTCAGACTACAGGCTTGTGCCACCATGCCCAGCTAATGTTCTTTAATTTTTTTTTTTTTTTTTTTTTTGGTGATGGATTCTTCACTCTGTTACCCAGGCTGGAGTGCAGTGGCACTATCTCAACTCACTGCAACCTCTGCCTCCCAGGTTCAAGCAATTCTCCTGCCTCAGCCTCCCGAGTAGCTGGGACTACAGGTGCACGCCACCACGCCAAGCTAATTTTTTAAAATATTTTTAGCGGAGACGGGGTTTCACCATGTTGGCCAGGCTGTTCTCAGACTCCTGACCTCATGATCTGCCTGCATGATCTGCCTGCTTCGGCCTCCCAAAGTGCTGAGATTACAGGCATGAGCCACCATGCTCGACCATTGTTTTTTATTTTAGCCGAGACAAGGTCTTGCAATTGCCCAGGCTGATGATCTCTAACTCCTGACCTCAAGTGATCTTCCCACCGTGGCCTGACAAAGTGCTGGGATTACATGCATGAGCCAACACTTGGCCTGTATGCCAGTTTTTTGTAATGAGGTGACTGAGGTCCAAGGAGGTGAAGAAACAGCCCAGGGTCACACAACTGATTTTGAGCTAGAAGTTAACTCCTGACTCTAGATCGTTACCAAAGCCATCATGTTTTACTTGAAATAGTATAAAGTGATGAACACAGACATTGGGTTGTTAGGGTGTGCCTGTGTGACACTGGATTATAAGATGCCCAAAGGGTGTATCTGCCTGTCCCCTGTGCTACCCTTAATCCATTCTAGAGGGTGGTTTGATTTACAGTGTCTCACCATCTCTTCTTAGTCAGTTTTTACTCTAACTGTTCAAACGTAGAAGTCACTCTCTATGTAATACAGAGGTCAAGCAATTTTCCCTCTCAGCAAGCAGAATTGTGGGCCATTCATAAAAGGAATCCCTAAGAATGATAGCATTTGTGTGCATTTCTCAGGCAGCACAAGTTGGAGGAAGCCCTGCTCTTTTCTGGTCAGTTCATGGATGCTTTGCAGGCCTTGGTCGACTGGTTATACAAGGTGGAGCCACAGCTGGCTGAGGACCAGCCCGTGCACGGGGACCTGGACCTCGTCATGAATCTCATGGATGCACACAAGGTGGGGCGAGGTCCGGGCTACATGGAGTGCAGTGCCCTAGGGTCTTCCACGTGATGCCTTCTGCCTTTCTTTCTAGGGGAGAAAGAGAGCCTGTCAGTTGCTCTGTGTGTTTAAACAAACTGTTGCTGAGATTCTGCATTAGTCACAAAGAATTTACCAAAATTGGTTTGATTCAGATTTGGCAGTGTGTGAACTTCACTTCAAGGATGCCTCTCTTCCTGTTTGTTTTTCTCAGTTGAGTCACAAAATGAATTTAAATTTCAACAGAAACCCGTAAGATATCCATTTCCACTAACTCCTAAAATGGAAATGAGTGGGTTTTTTTTAAGCCACTTCTGAACCTAAAAATCCTAACGCCACACATGGCAATATTTAACATAATCTCTACCTGTCATGTTGAACTGTGTAATATCCTCCTGTTTCAGCACAAAACACTGAACTTTACCTTAAAATTACAAGTTTCTTTTTTTTTTTGAGACGGAGTCTTGCTCTGTCACCAGGCTGTGTAGTGCAATGGCACCATCTTGACTCACTGCAGCCTCAGCCCCCTGGGTTCAAGTGATTCTCCTCCCTCAGCCACCTGAGTAGCTGAGACTCTAGGCGCATGCCACCACGCCTGGCTAATTTTTGTATTTTTAGTAGAGATGGGGTTTCACCATGTTGGCCAGGATGGTCTCGATCTCTTGACCTCATGATTCACCTGCCTCAGCCTCCCAAAGTGCTGGGATTACAGGTGTGAACCACTGTGCCCAGCCACAACAGATTCTTACTATGTGCACAGCAGATGTTTTTATTTCCAATAATTCTGGAAACATTCATATGATGATTACCATTTTACAGAGGAAGAAACTGGGCCTCAAGCAACTTTTCAAAATTATGTATCTCCTAAATGCCTGAGCTAGCATTTAGAGCCACATCTTCTGGTGGGTTTTTTTACTTTTTCTTTCTTTTTTTTTTTTTTTTTTTTTTTTTTTAGTGTAATTGGGTCTCACCATGTTGCTCAGGCTGGTCTTGAACTCCTGGGTTCAAGCAATCCTCTCATCTTGGCCTCCCAAAATGCTGGAATTACAGGCATAAGCCATGGCACTTAGCTTAGTGATTGTTTCTTATACATTGTTCTGCCTCCCTCTGTGCATAAAAGACACATGTTTAGAACCTACCAAGGAAATTATTCTTTCCCAGGGGTTTCTCTTCTTGGACTCAAAACATTCCTCAAACTAATTCTCCTATTTTCTTTTCTAGGTTTTCCAGAAGGAACTGGGAAAGCGAACAGGAACTGTTCAGGTCCTAAAGCGGTCAGGGCGAGAGCTGATTGAGAATAGTCGAGATGATACTACTTGGGTAAAAGGGCAGCTCCAGGAACTGAGCACTCGCTGGGACACTGTCTGTAAACTCTCTGTTTCCAAACAAAGCCGGCTTGAGCAGGCCTTAAAACAGGTAAGAGACATTTGCTGTTTCAACCCAAGGGATGGATCTGAATGGATTTATTTTGTTTTTGTTTTATGAGAATTTGTTTCAGCCAGTCTTGAAATAAACATAACAGTTGAAAATTGATATTCTGAATGTTCTATACAACTTTAACATTCATTTTGAGAAATAATGAATTCAGTTGATTTTCAAAGCTATGAAAGATAACCTTTGTGGAATTTCGATGAGGCCATGAAACATCTGAATGAACACTGGACCCTTTCCCTGGCATTTCCCAGTTTCTAGGTCCTTGGCTGCAGAGAGAGTTCAGTCTTTTGTGCTTGGTTATTTTAGGCAGAAGAGTTTCGGGACACAGTCCACATGCTGTTGGAGTGGCTTTCTGAAGCAGAGCAAACGCTTCGCTTTCGGGGAGCACTTCCCGATGACACAGAGGCTCTGCAGACTCTCATTGACACCCATAAGGTAATCCAGCCTTGGGGGTTTGTAACCTCCTGCTACCCACCACCATGAGGGCTGCCTGCCACTAAATGAAAGCAACTTTTTCTTGGAAATACCAGAACTCACATGAAAAGGAACAAAACCAGAGTGGGCCTAGCCCATTGGTTTAGCAGGAATGGAGAGGGAAGTGACTGATGGGTTTTGTGACACCTTAAACATTAACATTCATTCATTTATTCTTACAAAAGTAATACATGCTGGTTGTAAACAAGTTTTAAAAAGATGGTATTATATATTTTTTTAAATGTGGACTATTTCATCTTCTTTACTCCTCACCTGCATATGCCTTTGTTTGCCTTTCCTTATATTACTAGCTTTAGGCCCTGATCTGATCCCCCAGAACCACTTACAAAGCTGTAGAATATGGTGCAGTATCTGGGGTCTCAGTCTGTCCTAATGAGGTGGGAAATGTTTCCCCTTTTTAATTTTTATCCACTCAGATTTTAATTTTGGGTTTGTTGTTATATTCTGTTATGGATATTTTTTAAATATTAGGGGTTTTTTTGTGTTTTTTTTTTTGAGACGGAGTTTCACTCTTGTTACCCAGGCTGGAGTGCAATGGCACGATCTCGGCTCACCGCAACCTCCGCCTCCTGGGTTCAAGCAATTCTTCTGCCTCAGCCTCCTGAGTAGCTGGGATTACAGGCACGTGCCACCATGCCCAGCTAATGTTTTGTATTTTTAGTAGAGACGGGGTTTCACCATGTTCACCACGATGGTCTCGATCTCTCGACCTCGTGATCCACCCGCCTCAGCCTCCCAAAGTGCTGGGATTACAGGTTTGAGCCACCGCGCCCGGCCGGGGTTTTTTTTGTTTTGTAGTAGTAGATCCAAAATATTATCGTTTTTACAATTATATTTTTCCAATACAAATATGTTTACCAGTATAAAATGAATAAATGAAAAATTGGATTAAAAAAAGAGAAACTAATTCAAATAGGAAAAAGGGGACGTACCTCTGTGTGTCCTATTCTTTGTTGTCATCTCCACCAGAGAAAGTCATTCTTGTGTAAACCCCGTACCTTCCCATATCTTTTACAATTAAAATGCCATAGATAACTAAGTACAGGCATTTAGAGGTCTGTGTCAACACATGAAGGAAAAAGAAAACATTGAAATATTTCCCCCCTCAGTGTAAACTAACAGTGCTGCTAATGTAGACTTCGTAAGTTTTTGTTTTCAAATCTTTTTTGTTTAGGAATTCATGAAGAAAGTGGAAGAAAAGCGAGTGGATGTTAACTCGGCAGTAGCCATGGGAGAAGTCATCCTGGCTGTCTGCCACCCTGATTGCATCACGACGATCAAACACTGGATCACCATCATCCGAGCTCGCTTTGAGGAGGTGAGTCCCCAAGTTCAGAGGAGGCCTGCACAGGCCCAGTAAACTATCACTATAGTATAATATTTTTCCCCCAGGTAAGGAATCTTTCACTCACCGTGAATATCTCAGCAAATACAGTTAGCATTTTAGTAAAAGCTGTTTTCTTGGTAATGTGTGGCAACCTAGAGGAGTGGTGTTGGCATAGTGCTATGTTAATAGTGACTTCCAGTGGACATGTTGTGTGTAGTGTCCCATCATTCCTGGGAATAACTTTTAACAGGATATACAGCTGACTCTTGAATAACATGTGTTTCCAACTGCACAGGTCCACTTATATGCAGATGTTCAGTAAATACAGTTAGCCCTCCATGTTGGTGGAGCCCACATTCACAGTCAAACACGGATAAGAAATACAGTATTCACAAGAAGCAAAGCCTATTTATACAGAGGAAGGATTTTTCAAGGCTCCACAAAACCAATTACAGGCCTTGAGTATTCATGAATTTTAGTATCCACAGGTGGTACTGGGACCAGTCTCCCGTGGATACCAAGGAACAGCTATAGTAGATTTGCTTTCAGGAGGGCTGATATTTTATTCCAGCTCTTATCCCAGCTGTCACTAGGGTAATAGTGAAGCCTCTTGACTGTTTGGGTGGTCTCTCCTCTAAAAAGTCATTATGTTAGGTCTGGGTGATCGTGCCTGTAATCCTAGCACTTTGAAGAGGCTAACGCAGGCAGATCATGAAGTCAGGAGTTCAAGAGCAGCCTGACCAACCAACATGGTGAAACTGCATCTCTACTAAAACTACAAAAATTAGCCAGGCATGGTGGTGTGGGCCTGTAATCCCAGCTACTTGGGAGACTGAGGCAGGAGAATCACTTGAACCCCAAAGGCGGAGATTGTGATGAGCTGAGATTGCACCACTGCACTCCAGCCTGGGTAACAGAGTGAGTCTACATCTCAAATAAATAAATAAACAAATAAATAAGTAAAAGTCATTGTGTTGGCTGGGAATAGTGGATCGTGCCTGTAATCCTAGAACTTTGGGAGGCTGAGGCAGGTGGATTACCTGAGCTCAGGAGTTCAACACAAGACTGGTCAACACGGTGAAACCCATCTCTACAAAAATACAAAATTAGCTATGGCCGGGCACGGTGGCTCAAGCCTGTAATCCCAGCACTTTGGGAGGCTGAGGTGGGTGGATCACGAGGTCGAGAGATCGAGACCATCCTGGTCAACATGGTGAAACCCCGTCTCTACTAAAAATACAAAAAATTAGCTGGGCATGGTGGCGCGTGCCTGTAATCCCAGCTACTCAGGAGGCTGAGGCAGGAGAATTGCCTGAACCCAGGAGGCGGAGGTTGCGGTGAGCCGAGATCGCGCCATTGCACTCCAGCCTGGGTAACAAGAGGGAAACTCCGTCTCAAAAAAAAAAAAAAAAATTAGCTATGGCATGGTGGTGCAGGTCTGTAATTGCAGCTACTTGTAAGGCTGAGGCAGGAGAATCGCTTGAACCCAGGAGGCAGAGGTTGCAGGGAGCCAAGGTTGTGCCATTGCACCCCAGCCTGTGCGACAGAGTCAGAGTACGTCTCAAAAAAATAAATAAATAAAAATAAAAAGTCATTGTGAAAATCAGATGAAAAGGGGCTTTGGAAACAAAAGGGTGTGCTTGACTGAAAGAGGCCATGGTTTTCTTCTTTTTTCACAGGTCCTCACATGGGCCAAGCAGCACCAGCAGCGTCTTGAAACGGCTCTGTCAGAACTGGTGGCTAACGCTGAGCTCCTGGAAGAACTTCTGGCATGGATCCAGTGGGCTGAGACTACCCTCATTCAGCGAGATCAGGAACCAATCCCGCAGAATATTGACCGAGTGAAAGCCCTTATCGCTGAGCATCAGGTGTCTTAACCTCACTGTGTAGTCACTGGTGGTTTCTGTGTTGGTCATGGATACCAAGTCCTTTGCCTTGTGTATTTGTTTTTAAATTGCTGCGTAACATGTTGCCACAGACTTAGCACCTTAAAACAAGACATACTTGACATACTTACCTCATGGTTACTGTGTGTCAGATACCTGGGCATGAGTTAACTAGGTCTTCCTGAAGTCTCACCAGGCAGAAATCAAGGTGTCAACTAGTACTACAGTCTCATCTAAAGTTCAGGATCCTCTTCTAGCCTCACTCAGGATGTTGACAGAATCCAAATCCTGGTAGATGTAGGGCTGAGGTCTCTACTTTCTCACTGGTTCTCAGCTAGGAATTGCTCTTGGCTCCTAGAGGCCCCCTCAGGTCTTAGCCACACAGCCAGAAGGAGAAACTGTCCTAGGTGCTATGTGGAGTTTTGAAATGTAATGGAGGATGAAATGTAATTAAAGGAGTGAATATTCCATCATTTGCCCACACTCAAGAGAAGGGGATTACATAGAGTATACACACTAGGAGTGGGAATCTTGGGGGCCTTCTTGGAGAAGTCTGCCTGCCACAGCCTGTTTTTATTGACCGTCATCTGAGCCAAGGGTCCACTGGTCTGTCCCCATTGTATCTGGTTCAGAAACTCTCTCGAATGAACCCAGTGATCAGTGAAGGTGCACCTCAGACTAAACAATGGAGGAAAGTTCAGTTGAACTATCTTCATAATATATCTAACATATCCTTTAGAGGCAAATACCATTTTTTTCTTTTTTCTTTTTCACTATCTCCAGTAATGGCTATAAGTAAGGCAAATATCATTTTTAATCATGATTATTTACACTGAATTCAAGTGTGAATCATGATTAGCTATACGGTAGACTATAATGGTCTTTTTAGTTTATATAATCAATTGCCCTGGCAAGTGAGAACTTACTATACAGTTTTTCCACTTTATGATGGTGCAAAGGTTATACGTATTTAGTAGAAACCATACAGTTTGAGGCCAGGAGCAGTGGCTCCCACCTGTAATCCCAGCACTTTGGGAGGCTGAGGTGGACAGATCTCTTGAGGTCAGGAGTTTGAGGCCAGCCTAGCCAACACAATGAAACGCCATCTCTACTTTTTTAAAAATATAAAAATTAGTTGGGTGTGGTAGTGGTTGTCTGTAAACCCAGCTACTCAGGCAGCTAAGGCAGGAGAATCACTGGAACCAGTGCGGCAGGGTTTGCAGTAAGCGGAGATCACACCATTGCACTCCAGCCTGGGTGACAGAGCAGGACTCCATCTCAAAAAACATAAACAAAACCATTCACTTTGAATACCTATACAACCATTCTGTCTTTCACTTTGATTACATGAGATAGTCAACACTTTATTATAAAATAGGCTTTGTGTTAGATGATTTTGCCTAACTATAGGCTAACATGTTTTGAGCGTGTTTAAGGTAGGCCGGGTTAAGCTATGATGTTCCATAGTTCAGGTGTGTTATATTTTCAGCTTAACGATGGGTTTATCAAGGTGTAACTTTGTTGTAAGTTGAGGAGCACCTGTCCTTCCTATGGGATGTACCTATATTGACACCTCCTCTCTGAGAGATTATCTTCTTCCTATTCAGTTCCTCTCCTTTCTGTTTTCCCCCCTCCCCTGTATCTTCAGTCTCTCCTGTTTACTCTTTCCTCTAAAGCTTCCAGACATGCCCTTCCAACCCAGTGTTCCCCTCAAGTTACCATTGTGTTGCCTCCCTCCATTTTCAGCTATGCTTCTTGTTCCCTATCTCATCTCCTTTTTTCTCATCACTCCCCAGGTCCCTGTGGTCTGGCTGACACTGTTCTGGTCACATTCCACTGGCTAAATCCACTAAATCCAACAGATGTTTTTCAGTCTTTATTTTGTTTGACATGTGACATAGCTGGCTCTTCATCCCTTCCCAAAACTTTCCTTTTGACTTCTTTGTCCTTTAATCTTTGTGTTTTCCTCTGATCTCTCTGACCATTCCTTTTTAGCCTTCTTAGCTAGTTCCTCTTCCCTGCCTATTAAGTAATGTTGTTCCCTGATGTCTCATTCTTGATGCTCTCCTCACACTGCTGAGATTTATCTAGTCTAACAACATAAGCTATTACCTATAAAGCTTCTGCATCTTTTTCATCTCTAGCATCATCGTCTCCTAAAGTCTAGACATACAGTAAACTAGAAGCAGCTCTAAAATTCCACTTTATCTTTGCCTGATGTCACTTGTCCATTTCAGATCTGCCTCCCCTTTCCTCATTGAGAACCCTGTGATGTCTGGAGTTACTCCTTTTCCTATTCCCCCTACATCTAGCCACTCACCAAGGCTTGTCAGTCCTACTTTCAAAATACCTCTTGGCTCCATCTTTCCTGACCTGGCTGTGGCCCTCACCATGTTTTGCCTCAGTTACTGCAGTGGTTTCTTGCCCTGTCTTCTCACTGCTAGCTACTCCCCATCCCACACTCCCCCCTGCCCCCACTCACGTCACTCCGCCTCGTACACTGAAGCCAAAGTGATAGCCCGAAAGCATAGATCTGATCTTGTCTCTTCCCTGGATCGAAGTCCTTCAGCTGCCCGCCATTGCTCTCAGAATAAATGGCCAATTTTTAGCCTGACACAGAAGCCTTGTGTGATCTGTCTCCTACCTGCCTCTCCAACCCTGCCTCTTGCCAGTCCTCTGATTGCATCCTCTGCAGAGCCAGTGAGTGTAAGGGTCTTGGTCACAGCACTGTCAGCCATCTCTGGCTGTTTTGGTTGCACCCTCTTCTAGGACTGCCCTCCTGCCATTTGTTGACTATTTCTTCATTCCTCAGTGTGTCAGTCCATTTGCATTGCTATAAAGGAATTCCTGAGACTAGGTGATTTATAAATAAAATAGGTTTGTTTTGGCTTATGGTTCTACAGGCTGTACAGGAAGCATGTTGCCAATATCTGCTTCTGGTGAGGGTCTCAGGAAGCGTAGAATCATGGTGGAAGGCAAAGGGGAGCCATTGTGTCACATGACAAGAGACAGGGAGAGGAAGGAGGAGGGGGAGGGGAAGAAGAAGATAGTAGGCTCCTTTTAAACAGCCAGCTCTCATGTGAACTAACAGCAAGGACTCACTCATTACCATGGGGAGGGCACCAAGGCTGCCCCCATAACTTAATTACATCCCATCAGACCCCGCTTCTAACATCAGAATTCACATTTCAACATGAGACTTGGAGGGGACAGATATCTAAACTACATCCCTTGGTAACTCAGCTCAGGCACCAGCCCTCTAGGCAGCCTTTCTAGCCACCATGGGCTGTAAAGTATTCATCCTAGCTCTTCCTTTGCCTCCCTGTATGGCACTCAGTGCTCTGATTCTTTGGCTTTTATCACTCATCGGTGAGCTCCTTGAAGTCAGAGTCCCTGTCTACTCCTTCAGGTCTTTAGCACCTGATAAAGTACCTTCTTCAATCAAGTGTCTTAAAAGGAGTGATAGAGCATGCAAGGGCACCTGTCACTTGGTCAATCTGTAATCAGCCTGGCCTTTGTTAGTAAAACATTGCCTGACTCCACTTAAGTCCAATAAAATTTTAACTCTTTTTCCCTTTTTTGTGTGTTTAACAGACATTTATGGAGGAGATGACTCGCAAACAGCCTGACGTGGACCGGGTCACCAAGACATATAAAAGGAAAAACATAGAGCCTACTCACGCACCTTTCATAGAGAAATCTCGCAGCGGAGGCAGTATGTTTCCAGCCCCCTGTGTTAGGATGCTTCATTCCCGCTAAATGAAGATGAGCACTTTCCAAATGCCTGTCAAAAAGTGTTTATTCCATTTTCAAAAACCATGTTGGTTTTTTGAAACTCACTTTTCTTACATTGACAGTCAGTAGCTATACTCCGTATTCATGGATTGATATGAAATTACGAGGTGGTTAAGCTTATTCTTTAACAGTAGCCTTTCCATTGTTTTGGTGATCAGCGCTAGCTGTTTACATTTGGTTTGCACTAATTTCATTGAAAATAAGGCAGCTCCTGCAGAATATGTATGTTGCTTTTTTAGTTGAGTTAGCATGTCCTCGGCTCAGTAAGGTAGGACAACATTGCTTGGAGATCTGCATGCAGCAGGTAAGCATGTTCTGAGAGGATCAGTACCTTTGGAATTAGTATACCTCTGTATCTAAATGTTGCCGAGTCCTGTATTTCTTTTCTCAGTTTCAGGCTGGATATTCTAAAGATTTCCTAAGTTTATACATACAGCTCTTTCTTTGTATAGTAACCAGCTGTTCTAATCTTGTGATTATTTTTCCTTTTAGGAAAATCCTTAAGTCAGCCAACCCCTCCTCCCATGCCAATCCTTTCACAATCTGAAGCAAAAAACCCACGGATCAATCAGCTTTCTGCCCGCTGGCAGCAGGTATGGCTGTTAGCACTGGAGCGGCAGAGGAAGCTGAACGATGCCTTGGATCGGCTAGAGGAGGTAATGTGCTGCTGAGTGGCCTTCCCTGAAGCAAAGTGAAACAGAGCCCTTCTGAGGCTCTCTTAATGTGAACTGTGTGCCTTAACTTAGTTCTTCACATAGAAACAGACCCATACCAAGCCAGTACTCATTCCTTGATGCCCTTGAATGAGAAAAGACACATTTGTAAGAAAACCATTTATGACAGAGTAGGCTGAAGCTTCTAGGTGTGGAAAGCAAGAAAACACCCAGTCTATGAGGGCCAGGACCTGATCTGCCTCAGTATCTTGCTGTGGTTGGGAATCAGGAACAGAACTTTGGAAATTTATCTCCAGATATGTAGCACAGCACAAAAATGACTATTGTTGAGCCTTTCATATAAAAATATATGCTACACAGTTATGAAATAGGAGTAATCTTTAATGCTTTTGTTGTTTTTGTTAGTCTTCACTAAATCATGAAAAGCACATCATCTATTTTTAAGTGTCATTACCCAGTATAAAAAAAAAATATAGTAGAACTATGCTTCCTAGTTTCTAAACAAGCCTCTAATGTCTTTTGTATTTTTTTATTTGTGCATATCAAAGCAGCTTTGCCTGGAAGTGAGTGTTCTGTGGTTTTGTTTTTTGTTTTGTTTTGTTTTTGTTTTGTCTTTTGTTTTTGTTTGTTTTTTTAATTTTTTCCATAAGTCAGTTGACTTTTAGGCTTATTGGGTTCTTGGTGCTTTTTTCCCCCCATTCCTTCTAACTTTGGAGTTTGAAAGACCAAGGGAAAACTGCTTCACTGTTGAAGTCATTTTGAGGGTATATCATTAACATAGACTTAAGTAGCTGAAAATTGTCTTACCCACCGCATAGGCCTGCTGTTTGCCATCAAGGCCAAATATTTAACATGGAAGTCAGACGGGCAGTTTGCTCTCTCTGGTACCATTCCAAAGAAACATGCTTGGATACAATGCTGGGTTCCTATTGCTTCCATCCAGAACTCAGATTTTCTCATTGAAATCTCAGAAGATAGTGGTAAACACGAGCCTCATAATGTGAGCCCTGTGTGTGATTATGTAAACAACGTAATTGAGGAGTGCTAAGGACCTCCCTTCTGGGTTAGAATCCATTCCCTTGCATCTAAGAGAGTGATCCCCTGAAAAGCCCAAAGGGAAAGCAAGGCTGGCTTCACCCATTCTCATTCTACGTGCTCAATATTTTCCATGGTGGTTGTTCAGTTACTGTTTTTCTTGCTATTCCATTATACCACAGCTCATGTAAATAGTCATGGCTTTAAGTGAAGGAGACAGAATGTGCCTTCACAAGAGAAGCAGACACATAGATTTCATTGTCGATGCCCTCTGGAAGGCCTGCATGGCTTTACTGGATATCTGAAAGTTTGGGTATGTTCTGGGCAGCTTTTGAGGGCCCAAATAATAAATCTTATTGACACTTCTGATTTCTTTGTAGCTGAAGGAATTTGCTAACTTTGACTTTGATGTCTGGAGGAAAAAGTATATGCGTTGGATGAATCACAAAAAGTCTCGAGTGATGGATTTCTTCCGGCGCATTGATAAGGACCAGGATGGGAAGATAACACGTCAGGAGTTTATCGATGGCATTTTGGCATCCAGTGAGTCTAGTCATCATTCCAAACATGGTCACACCTGTATTTCTTGCCCTTTGTAGAACCGTGATATTCTGGCTAAACAGTCTTTCTGAAGCTGGCCAGGTGCTGTGGCTCACCCCTGTAATTCCAGCACTTTAGGAGGTAGAGCTAGGAGGATTGCTTGAGCCCAGGAGTTTGAGACCAGCCTGGGCAACATAGACTCCCTCGATACAAAAAAATACAAAAGTTAACCCAGGCATGGTGGCACACCTGTGGTCCTTGCTACTTGGAAAGCTAAAGTAAATCACCTGAGCCTGGTAGGTCAAGGCTGCAGTAAGCTGTAATCATGCCAGTGGACACCAGCCTGGGCAACAGGATGAGACTGTGTCTCAAAAAAAAAAAGACAGTGGATAACCAGAGGTTTCAGTTGGGAAGCAATATGATTTGGTTTATGTTTTAGTAAATCACCATGACTACTATAAATACTCACATTTCCCTTTGTATAGCAATTTGTTGAGAATCTAAGACAATAATCTAAACATAGGAAAACTTCCTGCTATTAATGTCAAACTGTCACTGTTCTGAGACAGTCTGAGCATCCAATAATTGTGAGGCGGATAGGTATATTCTTGAGTTGAGTGGTAGGTCTGTGGGAGGTTGTAATACTATGTTTATGCCTTTTGGTATATCTGAAATGTGGAATATTACCTTCTTTTTGTTGCATTTGCAATAGGGGAGACTGTAAGTGGATATGTAATATTTTTCAGGAAAAATTAAGACATAAATTTTTTTTGCTCTTAAGAAGTATTTCTGGCCAGGTGTGGTGACTCATGCCTGTAATCCCAGCAGTTTGGGAGGCCAAGATGGGTAGCTCACTTGAGGCGAGGAGGGGAGACTGAGATAGGTGGATTACTTGAGGCCAGGACTTCGAGACCAGCCTGGCCAACGTGGTGAGACCCTGTCTCGATGAAAAATGCAAAAAAAATTAATCAGGCTTGGTGGCATGTGCCTGTAATCCCAGCTACTCAGGAAGCTGAGGCAGGATAATTTCTTGAACCTGGGAGGCAGAAGTTGCAGTGAGCTAAGATTATGCCACTGCACTCCAGCCTGGGCAACAGGGCCAGACCTTGTCTCAAAAATAAAAAATAAAAACATGGTTCTATAACCGTCATCCAAACAAGTAAGCCCTCTTATTTTTTTTTTTTTTTTTTTTTTTTTTGAGACGGTGTTTTGCTCTTGTTACCCAGGCTGGAGTGCAATGGCACCATCTCGGCTCACCGCAACCTCCACCTCCTGGGTTCAGGCATTTCTCCTGCCTCAGCCTCCTGAGTAGCTGGGATTACAGGCACGCACCACCATGCCCAGCTAATTTTTTGTATTTTTAGTAGAGACGGGATTTCACCATGTTGACCAGGATGGTCTCAATCTCTTGACCTCGTGATCCACCCGCCTCAGCCTCCCAGAGTGCTGGGATTACAGGCTTGAGCCACCGCGCCTGGCCCCTCTTAATGTCTTAATGTTTCAAAATGTGATTCCTTTTCTCCAGAGTTCCCCACCACCAAGTTAGAGATGACTGCTGTGGCTGACATTTTCGACCGAGATGGGGATGGCTACATCGATTATTATGAATTTGTAGCTGCTCTTCATCCCAACAAGGATGCATATCGACCAACAACTGATGCAGATAAAATTGAAGATGAGGTATGGGAAATAATTATATTTTGAGACACTCGTGACTATAGGTTTATACTATCCTCAATTTGGTTGGGTTCAGTGATCATATTAGCCTTTTGTAGTTTCGTGTTGAGATCTCTGTTTGGATAGCATTTTAGAGTCCCAGAGAATCTCTGACATCTGAGCTCTAGCTCAGGCTAGATGAATTACTCAAGTGATTCATGTCTGTGTGGTGCTCTGAAGTTTACAGAGAACCTTTGCAGGGCAATGGACTCATCCGGTTCACTGCTCCTGTGTTAGGGATAGACTCATCGCACTCCTGAGCATGCTACCTGGAATCTAGGGAAATGGTTTACCAGTGTAGCATTTAAGGGTTGAAATGGACTGGGCATGGTGGCTCACACCTGTAGCCCCAGCACTTTGAGAGGCCAATGCGGAAGGGTCACTGGAGCCCAGGAGTTCGAGACCAGTCTGGGCAATGTTGTATGATTCTAGTCCTGGCTACTCAGGAGACCGAGGTGGAAGGATCCCTTGAGCATGTGAGGTCAAAGATGCAGCGAGCTGTGATCATGCCACTGCCCTCCAACCTCGGCAATAGAGCAAGACTTGTCTCAAAAAATAAAAATAAATGCTTAAAAGGGGGGTAAAATGTAATGTTTAAAGTGGTATGTACCCATCATGCTTTCTGACTTGTTAAAAACTACCACATTGAAACTAGCAAATTTACTAGTTCCACCTAGAAATCCCAGCATCTGTTGATAACAGATCTTGGGAAGGGAGAGGTGCTGGGACAGGTCTTGGGAGTGGCCCTGGAACACACCAGGACTAACTTCCAGGGGATCTCGGGCTCCTAGGGTGAAATTCAAAGCAGTTCATAATTTGCTTTATTAATAATTTGATTTTGATACATGCATATTAGCACTTTTTTCTGAAGGAATTTTGAAGCAAGAATAAAGAATGTGTTGTATAGTCACTTGGGAATTTCTTTCATGCCTTTTCTTTCTCGGTATCTCAATTAGTTCACTTACTAAGAAGAACATACACTAATTTGGAACAGAAGATAAATGCATATGTCAAAAGCCTGAAATGCCTAAAAAGTGATAGCTTCCCTGTTTATGTGTAAACTCTTTGTTTCTTTGAATAGGAAGTCTTGCTCTACACTTTACACTTTTCTTTTTGTTCACAACCAATAGGTTACAAGACAAGTGGCTCAGTGCAAATGTGCAAAAAGGTTTCAGGTGGAGCAGATTGGAGAGAATAAATACCGGGTAAGGAAGAGAAAAAACAGTCCTTTGTGTTGGTGGTTTCTCATACGTGGCTGATCCCACCTTTTCCTCCTGATGCTGGGATACCCAGAGTCTGTCCGACTTGAGCTGTGGTCACTCTCTGACCTCATCTCTATAGATGCCAAGTGTCAGGTACCCTGTTCCATCTGAAAACTGTTGCCATATCCAGCTAGATAGTAGTTTTTATTTAAGATTCAAGATAGGAGATATTTCAGAGCCATCACTTCACATCTGATAAAGTCTTTAGGGGGATGAAGTTACCTTTGGAAACAATTATGTCTAATGAACTGACCACTTACTCCCAAAGAGATGGTCATTGTGAACCTGAGCGGCTCCCAGGCTAGAGAGGCCTGGGGAAACTCTGTTGAAGCCCCAACAGACACTGCCTGCTCTACGCTGTGCTACACATGGGGCTCAAGAGCACTGAGGAGACATTAGGCTCAGTGGTCTTCCCTGGAAAGCCATGCTAGGTATGGCCATAACTGACAGTGAACTATACCTGTGTTTTAGCTTCTTTTGGGACCAGGGCCAGGGGCATAGAAGGATCTGAAACAGGTCTCCTAAAATACATTAATAGCTCATCAAGATTTTCTAAAGTCCTAAGAAAAATCTATGATTGGTTGGCTGGCCATGGTGGCTCATGCCTGTAATCTAAGCACTTTGGAGGCCAAGGCAGGTGGATCACCTGAGGTCAGGAGTTCAAGATCAACCTGACCAACATGATGAAACCCTGTCTTTAAAAAATAAAGAAAGAAAGAAAATAAAGAAAAATCTATAGTTGACAAAGAGGATTTAGATGGCCATGTTAGATCGCACTGAGTAAGAAACACAGGAAGATTCATGTTTCATTAATATATCCAAAATGTCCTCAAAGTACACCAAATCCACCTCATGCTAGAGTTTCCAGAGGAGTGCTGGGCGAATCTCCTTTAATCTAACTTAGGGCATTTAGTTAATAAAGCCCCAGGTAATCTTATGCTTGCTTGATGGGTTTTGTTTTCTTGTTTTCTGTTTTTAATTATCTGTGAGAGAAAGGAATTAACAAGAACAACAGAGTGGAGAGTTAGTTCATAATTTATAAAAGCACATTCCTGGCCGGGCATGGTGACTCACGCCTATAATCCCAGCATTTTAGGAGGCAGAGGCAGGTGGATCACTTGAGGCCAGGAGTTCAAGACCAGCCTGGCCAACATAGTGAAACACCGCCTCTACTAATAATACAAAAATTATCTGGGCTTGGTAGCACACGCCTGTAATCCCAACTACTGGGAAGGGTGAGGCAGGAAAATTGCTTTAACCCTAGGGGCGGAGGTTGCAGTGAGTCAAGATTTTGCCACTGCACTCCAGCCTGGGCAACAGAGCAAGTCTCTCAAAAAGTAATAATAATTAAAATTAAAACCACATTCCTTTGGCAGGAGCTTGGTAAGAATATGTTCAGTTATGTCACTTTGCCAGAAGAACGTGATGATGATTTTCATTCCTTAGTGTTAATTTGACAAAATGTTCTCTTTTTTTTTCCCCTCCTTTTCCTCCATCCTTTACTCTTACTGTGTGTAGTTCTTCCTCGGCAATCAGGTACAGTGTGCCTTGCAATGTTCTCCTTCTCAGTGGATATGGTCTGTGTAGCTAATGCTGCCTGTCCTTTGCTATGGGGAGAGGATGTAATCTGAAGCATGCCTGGGTCACACCTGGTTGTCTTACCAAGTGGAGAAGCTGCTGACGGGGCCAGCATTGCAAAGCTGTCTTAGCAGCAAAAGAATATATTTTTTTATAAAGGAGATAAAATGAAGGAAACTGAAGCTATGGTATCAATCCATTCCATTTCTAAAAAGAGCCTGGTTTTGTACTTCTGTGTTAGAAGTCAGATTATCAAATAGCACAGTTCTTATTTATATTAGAATCTCTTCACAGTTAATAAATTTTGCAATGCATGGTAAGTCAGTTCCTGAAGAACTTCAGTACTGTTTAAATATCTTATTAATATTTGTAGTTAGTTACATTTACATTTTATAATTATAAGGTACCTGAAAAGTATAGTGTGGAGATCATAATTGGCTGTGGCCTGAAGTATACTGATTATAGCCAGTGAGCCAAGATTTAATGGGACCAAATTAGACTTGGAAAAAATATTGGATGCTTTGACTCCACTTGGTAATGCTAACCTTTCAGATCTTTTTGAGTGCTCTGGGGTCCTGTGTCCTCCAATGTGGAAGGAAGTTGCATGAGTAAAATCTGTCTCTCTGATAGGAAATTATAAATCCTAAGAGTTGATTTGAGGCCCTCAAACTTCCCAGATCTTGCAAGTCACTATAATAATGTTCTAGGCCGGTGGGAAGAACAGGGTATAAGAGGAAAAAAAAAAAAAAGTAAAGATGAGAACAAACTGGCTTTAAAAAAAATAATTGCTTGAGAGTGTCCAATATACCTATTTGCTAATGACTATGTGTGAATGCTAGGGTGCCTTTGAAGAGTGCTGACACCCTCCTCTACTGCTCCATTGACCAGGAGAGAGTCAGATGAGTTCTGATGTTCAGAACAGAAATGTGAAGTTCATTTTATACACAGGCACCTGAGGCCTCAAAGGTCACATGCCTACTCTCACATAGCTAATGTCAGCCACTGCAAAAACCCAAGTCCCTGTAAGGGGTTTTCCTTTTAAAAGGTAGAAACAACAGTTACTGGCCCTTAGGACTCTTATTCTGAGTTATTTGCCTCACTGACATCCCTGTCCTACCAGGTGTGCACAGATCTCCATTTTTAGAGCTGCCATAACCCCTCCCACCACTCATGACTCTGGCCTCAACTTCCCCAGCTATACTGTCTGCTGGCTTGGTCAAACCTCCTTTCCCCAATAGCTTTGCAGAAACAAGTTAGAATCTTTCAAAGAGAGCTTTAGTTAGAAATTAAGGAGGGGAGGAAACACAAAATAAATGGAGTGATAAATTATAGTACACAGTATTCCAAGAATAAAGAACTCTCAGGGTTCCTTCCTGATTCACCCTGGCAGACGTGCAGGCGCGCAGGCGCATACTCGCTGCCTCTCACCCATCCAGAGAAAACCCTTTTCAGTGACTCAGGCCAGCGCTGCTCTTGGGTGGGATCCTCCTTGTCTCCCAGAACCTGCTCCCACGGGGCTTCCCATTTTCACTTGTGGGGCCCAGCTTCTGAGGGGGGCTCTCACAGAGCCAGGGAGGGGGGCAGCTTCCTTCCCAAGACAGGACATGTATTCTCTTTCAAGTCTGGGTTCAGTGCTGCTGCTACCACCACACAGTGCTTTTGCTGTAGTTACTTTGTATAAACATGTTTAAATTGTATCAGCTAGAGGTGTGGGACTACTTTTATTTTCAAAGTAAAGGGCTGGGAGGGAGGATACAGTATTTTTTTAGTCGCCTTGCTCATGCAAATAGTGCATTTGAGTCAGAGCAGCTAAGGAATATGGAAAATTACCACAAATATTAATTTTGAGGGAGGATGGTAATATGACCTCATATATCCTTTTTTGCATTTTCAGTTTTTCTGCCTTATTTCAAAGTTACAGTTGTCTTTTATAACTTTGAAATCCTACCACCTCCATACCCAAGGAACCCTTGAATTAAATAATTTTAGGAATTCCATTTCTCCAACCAAATGTTTGTTCGTTTTGGAAACTTTGCATACTTCTCTTTTGTTGCTCATTACTTCATTTTGGAAAGAGGGTAATTTATGCCATGAGAAACTCCAAATGTTAACATAGAGCTGGGAAGTAGGAATGTTTGGGCAAGAAAAAAGGGAAAACATAAATAATCAGAAATATGCTTGTTTTAGCATCTAAAATGATTATTGAATACTATTTATAATCATCATGGGAGCTGTAATTTTTAATTGCTTCAACTCAATTTTAGTATAAATATGACAATCATTTGTTCAGCTGAAGAAACTTTTCTGCTGGTGACATTGCAATTAGCAAATACTTAGGGCTTATTTCTGAAAACGTGATGCAGAAAATAAAATTTTCTTCTAAGCTTGTAATAATGATGCTTTGCAAAGGTTTCCTTAAGGCTTGAAATAGTATTTGCTATTTTCCATTTAGCTTTTAAGCATACTGTATTCAGAAGTTGACATCCACCGTCTTAGGAAAACAAATTAGCATACCAAGAAGATGGATTTTTAATTGGGCAGAATTCTCTTTTAAAAAATCAAATGACCTAACTCACTTTGTCTTCCTACCTCTCCTTTTGGTGCAGAGGCAGTGGTGTGACTATGAAAAGTGAATTTTATCCCAATAGAAAATATCTAAGGTATCTCGGCTGGGCATGGTGGCTCATGCCTGTAATCCCAGCACTTTGGGAGGCCGAGGCGGGCGGATCACCTGGGGTCAGGAGTTCGAGATCAGCCTGGCCAACATGGTGAAACCCCATCTCTACTAATAATACAAAAATTAGCTGGGTATGGTGGTGCACACCTGTAATCCCAGCTACTCAGGAGGCTGAGGCAGAATAATTGCTTGAACCCAGGAGGCAGAGGTAGCAGTGAGCCAAGATCATGCCATTGCACTCCAGCCTCAGCAATAAGAGTGAAACTCTGTCTCGGGAAAAAAAAAAAAAAAAAAAGCATATCAAGACACTGGTCTTTAGCTTGATATTTCTGCTTTTCTGTTTTTTGTTTTTGTTTTTGTTTTTGTTTTTGTTTTTGAGACGGAGTTTCACTCTTGTTACCCAGGCTGGAGTGCAATGGCGCCATCTCGGCTCACCGCAACCTCCGCCTCCTGGGTTCAGGCAATTCTCCTGTCTCAGCCTCCTGAGTAGCTGGGATTACAGGCATGCGCCACCATGTCCAGCTAATTTTTTGTATTTTTAGTAGAGACGGGGTTTCACCATGTTGACCAGGATGGTCTCGATCTCTTGACCTTATGATCCACCCGCCTCGGCCTCCCAAAGTGCTGGGATTACAGGCTTGAGCCACTGCGCCCGGCCTCTCTGCTTTTCTGTTTTTAAAATTCTTTTGTGAAATATATAAAAATGCAAAACTGTGAGAATTGAAAATTCTCCCTTAGCTATCAAATAGTCATTCCTGTCTGAATACAGTCTGCTTTGGGCGCAAAATATAGATCTGCTTTAAGATGTGTTTATTAATTAAATTTCCTTTTGATTCTACAGTTTGGGGATTCTCAGCAGTTGCGGCTGGTCCGTATTCTGCGCAGCACCGTGATGGTCCGTGTTGGTGGAGGATGGATGGCCTTGGATGAATTTTTAGTGAAAAATGATCCCTGCCGAGGTAAGGAACCACTCTGAGCATGAATTACATGTTAGGTACGGCCCCAGCAGTGTTCTTTTATGCTTACAGGAAGCATTGATGGTGGGGTCTGTCTGTTTTTTATTTGTTAAGCTGCCCAGATGTCATCCCACTAGCACAAATTTGAACTCAGGCGTGCCAGCATAGGCCAGGGAGAAAAACTGAAGAGGTTGATGCTATTTGGGGAGGTAGGTCTAGAGGAATGCAGTAATGAGAATTAAGAATGTATTTGTGTTCCTCGAATGTTTACGTTTGGGGTATTAAATTAACAGTATCCTAGAAAGGAGCCTGGTGAAGCCCTTTAGGTTCCCTCTTAGTGCCTCAGATCTCTTTGCCTGTAATTCCTGTGACTGACTGACAGGGAGAGTGATAGGCCCTTCTCATACAGGGAAAAACTGGTGAGCCTCCTGGACCAGGAGGGAGGATAAAGACACCTACATGTGAGCCAGTTTACTTCTAAGACAGGTGGCCACCTAAGCAAGACCATGGAGTATATGGGGTGTCTTTCTGCTGAATGTGAAAAGGCTGGCCTACCAGCCCAGAAACATAAGGAAACTGTCAATTTAATACGAGCATATGAGTGGTGGCACCTGCAGCTAGGGGGTGTGGGGGACTGCAGCAGGGAAGAGATGAGCAGTTCCAATTGCTAAATCCTCTTCAGCTGTGTCCTTGCCTTTCTCCTGTTAGCTGAGCTGCATGTGGGTGCACAGGAGGCTCCCCAACTGTCTGCCAATTTGTCTTTGTTGACTGGTTCCTGCATTTCCTGCCCTGTCTCTTGTTTCTTTGTGTTTACCTATTTTTTATTCTAGTTCACCATCCTGGGAGTAAAATAAAGCGCTCTGATTCCAGCTCTTCGATTTCCAGTCAGTCTCCCATAGGTTGGCTTTTAAGCTTTGTCCCTTTTCTCCACACCCTAGCCCGTTGAGAATGGCTTTGCTTCTTAAACTGTAACATCTCTTAGTTCTGTGTATCTGCTGCTTTCATGAGTGCTTGAAATGGCCAAACCATAGCTTTTCTAACTACTCAAGTTGGTGGTGCATAAAATACTTCTCTGTCCATGGAATTTGTTCTGAGCTTCTGTTTAACAAATACTTACATAACTTTATGTGCCACACACTATTACAAGTACTTTACAAGTAGCGCATTTATGTGTCATGTGAGGTATAGATGCTGTGATCTCTAGTTTACAGAATAGGAAATTGAGGCATAGAAAATGTAAATAATTTGCCCAAAGACAAACGACTAGTAAATGGCAGAGATGAGATTCAAATTCAAGGCGATCTGGATCTAGAATATGTGCCCCTAGCCAGCATGTTACATGTTTCAGAGGCTGACACACCTTTAAGTATGTTTATTATTGGATCAGCCTGCATAATTATTAAGGTTTATTTATAAACCTAGCAGAAATGTTTACTGTATGGTATGTAACTTCTTTGGAAATGATTTATTCATATTCTGGAGCATTTAGTGAGGACAGAGCTAAAGACAGCAGTCTTCACATGAATTCAGATATGCCCATAAGTAGTTCCTCTTACTTTAACTAATTTTATGTTTACTACAGTAAACCAGAGTAAAAGGTAAGCAGTAATAATTTTCATTAAAGCTTCCTTTTTTAAAAAAATTGGGGCCAGTTGCAGTGGAATCCCAGCATGTTGGGAGCCTAAGGCAGAAGGATTTCTAGAGCCCAGAAGTTCAAGATCAGTTCAAGATCAGGCAACATAGTGAAATCCTGTCTCTACAAAAAAAATTTAAAAATTAACTAAGCATGGTGGTACACACCTGTGTAGTCCTTTCTATTCGGGAGGCTGAGGTAGGAGTATTGCTTGAGCCCAGGCGTTCAAAGCTACAGTGAGCCATGATCATGCCACTGCACTCCAGTCTGGGCAACAGGGCAAGACTCTGTCTACAAAAAAAAAAAAAAAAGGTAATTTTGAAAACACTTTTTCTGATTAAAAACTTGAAGGTGTTTAGTTTTAGAATTTAAGTCGTCTTTCATTGCTTTAATGGAAAGCCATATGTGCCATTTTAACTTTAACTCAGAAAAACAACTTCATTTCTTTTCAAATCTATGAATAAGGTCCCGTTTTTCCTGTCATGTATGATCGGACTAAATAAAAGGGATATTGCATGTGGCATTTTGGAATCCTTGGTTGCCTGTTTATTCGCTGCCTGCTCTATTTATTATAACATCATGCTGCTGGCCAAGGAGAACACTGCTTGCTTTGTCTTTATCTTAGTATCCAAAATTTGGAACCCCAAGGAAATTTGGGAGGGCCATCTAAAAGCTATTTTCTATAAAAGCAAGTAACCTCTTTCAGCATCCCTTGGAGCAAACAAGGTAAGATTTTCCTGTGTCTCTCCAGGGGTGCTCCCCTGGAACTCAGTAATCATCTGAATCCATTGACTCTAGAGAGAACTCTCCAGAAATTTTAAATTTCATAATTCTATCAGTGATGGGCAGGATGAGCTATTTTTAATCAAATAAAAAATAGTACTAGAAGATGAACAGCTAAGAACTAGGATGGATTATAATAAGTAAGGTAGAAAGGTGTGAAGGTTGAGAAGAGAATGAAGTTACTTGAAACTATTTTGGAAGTTATATAAGGATAATATGGCTTCTGGAAACACTGTTTATGGTAGATTTTGTATTCATTTATGTTGCATTTCCTTGGGTCTCTGGACTATAGAGAATGCTATACTGAGGACAGTGCAAGATGTCTCACAAGGTTCTGAACACCAGTGTGCACTATCATTTGTTGTCTCCTTTTACACAGCTATTTTCAAAAGCAGAAGATATCTCAAACTGCATGTTGCTTTAGTCAAGTGTAAAAAAATGAAAATATTCTATTAGCTAGATCTGCCAGTCTCCTGGTACTGCCAAACTCAGAGATTTCAGTTTCTGAATTTATCTGTGGCACAGAAAATCATAATGTTTTGGATGGAGAGAAAAACAGTTCTGCCTAGATAATGGGTATACCTGTACCTAAGTCACTGTGTATGTTTTTTATCATTAGACATACTAGTTCCCCCAGAGAAGTGAATATCTAGGAAATTTCATTTATGAAAATTTAAAAGACACATTTTGGCATAGAACTGATTTTTTTCAGATTATTATAAGATATAAATAACATAAAATTTACCATCCTAACCATTTTTAAGTGTACACGGCAAAGTCCGTTTGTGTCATACTACCGTCACCACCGTCCAGCCACAGAACTCTCTTCATCTTGTAAAACTGAAACTCTGTACCTGTTAAAACAGTAGCTTAGAACTGAATTTTAACTAACATGCCCAGATCAACCAATGTCAGTTGGCTAGCATAACTCCCTTAGCAAAGACAGCCTCTTTGGTGGTTGATAAACTGAATTGAGGTGGCTGCCGTCATGGTCTGGTTCTGTAGCTTCAATGGTAGATCTTTTCTCCAGTGAAAAGAATGGTGAGGGGGAAAGTCCTATCACAGTCAACCAAGTACTAGGAATCTTCTCTTTTTTTTTTTTTTTTTTTTAAACTTTAGGACTGTGGTACCCAGTGTTAGGGAAATACTTGAATCAATGTAAATATTAAAAGTACCTTTACTACTAAATTTAAGTGCTAATATATAAACTTTGCTTAATTAAAATTTAGTGTTTCCTTCTAGTTTGAGAAAATGTTTACTTTTTACTTTGGGGATTACCTCAGAAATCAATTTTGACAACTTCCAGCTGTTGAACTGTTGTTTGTTGTCGCCTCTTCCCATCCCAGCCTTTTCTAGCTTATCAAAATATTACCCCCTTAACACCTTTTTCAATTCTTAAGGTTGGCCACCTTAAGTATATTTCTGAAGAAATAGCTTTCATTTCTTCCAAGTGATATGTATATAAAATGTTCCTTATCAATAATCCTTTCATTGCCTTGCATCTTAAATATTTTCTTTTAAAATTCAAATATCCATGGGAGTTGTAGCATATTAAGCTAATATTAGTCATGGCTTAGGATAAATTAATCATTCATTGGTCTCTTTACTGAGATGAGAGCACCAGAAATACAGGAATTTTACTATTGTGAGCTTAAGAGCATAAGGACCGAGAAGATGGGAATTACAGAGAGGAAGGAAAATAAAAGGGAGAAGACAACCCTCTAAAGCCTGAATTTGCTTTGTCTTGTTTGGGGCAGGCCCCAATTAAGTTAAGCCATTATTTTTATGGTGCCCTGCCTTTTCACTTGAGTTTAAGCCTACTAAATGAGGCCTCATGGAAGTATGCAGGAGCTAGCTAACTATTCTTACAGCCTCAGATTGGCTTAATACGTAGTATTGAGTGTCTGTGGCATGGATGTAGTACCTGGAAGGATGATGATAGGGAATTGTTCACACATCTTTGTATCTCTAGCCAGTGAAATACTGTTCCAAGAGGTGACCATTAACTGGAGATTCCCTGTGAAAACAGGGACTGTCTCGTTGTGTTTGTTTCTTTATGATGTATAAACACACCCTGGGAACATGATGAACTGAATTTTCCCAGCATCCTGCGTGAACCCAGCTAGAAAGCAAGTGAGACACCCTTTGGGCCCTCAGCAGTCATTTAATGAGGCATTACAATGTACCTGCCTCATGTTTGCCTCTGGGGCTAACAGGGTCATGACATAGGAGATCAGCATAGGATCCTGTGATAGAATTAAGCAGGTCCTAGGATCACAAAATGCAAAGGTTTAATGTGTTGCTGTTAACATGGGATAATCATCCTTCACGTACTATCTTCTGTATGGAAAGCTGTTCTATCTGCTCTTTGCATTTGTGGCTGGTATGCAAGAGAGCCAGTCACACAGCGAGAGGGTGAGCCTCACCAGCCACTGAGTCCTCACTTTAACACAGCTTGGTGTTTCTGTTCTTCATCCCCATGAAATAATGAGCACTTTTTAATGGAAACACAACTTAGTAAGTTCATGAAGGGTGTGAGATAACGTTCCTTGAAACTGTTGAGAGCCTATTGTTTTCAGAGGCTATTTCAGAGAAACAGAGACTACTCTGTTTCACAGATATTCACTGAAACCCTGTATGCAAATCTGGCACTGGGATCCAAAGGCAAATTAAGATAATGGTCCCTGCCTACAAGGTCTCAGCCTAGTGCAGGGAGCAGACATTGAATAAATGCCCTTGTATTTGGTAAAATGAGTGGCTGAGAGAGGAAGGGGGAAGAGATGACTCTGCCCATGAAGATGGAGAAAACATCAGAAAAAGGAGGTATTGGGCCAGGCACAGTGGCTTACATGTATAATCCCAACACTTTGGGAGGCCTAGTGGGGAGGATCTCTTGAGGCCAGGAATTTAAGACCAGCTTGGGCAACATAGCAAGACCCAATCTCTGTTTTAAAAATAAATATATGGCCAGGCGTGGTGGCTCACACCTGTAATCCTAGCACTCTGGGAGGCTAATCAGTCATTGGATGTAGCTTCTGGCATCCAGCAGGAAGGCCTGCTCTGCTAATAAATATATTTGGAGTTGGGTGTGACTGGCGGCACTGAAGCCTCAGTGAGTGAGCTCATCACCAGGTTGAGTCTAAGAGGGAGAACAGGACTGTGCACAGACCCAGGGGAAACATCTGTTTTAGAAGTGGGCAGGGAGGAGTGGTCAGCAAGGGAGCAGGCGTCCTTGAAGCCAGTGGAGGAGAGTGTTGCAAAAACAAGCGAGCAGTGTGTAGTGACCCTCCACATGCAAGTTACAACAGCAGAGAGATGTTTTTACCTAACATTGTCAGATTTTTTTTCTGTGTGGACTCATGCTTATAGCACAGTAATTGGCCAGAATGAAGTAAATTTAACATACTCATATTATTTTGGAGAGTGTACACTAGTATAACATTTTGGAATCATTTGGTATGTGTCAGCCTTGACATGTGGTTGTCATTCATCGGTTGATATGTTGTTACCTAATTAGGTATGCATCCTTTCTCCCCATAAAATCTACATGTAGAAATTAATCCTAAGGAAATATCATGGATATATGTAAAATGTTTTACAAATTGTCACAGCATTGGCTACAATGTTTAAAATATTTAAACAAACATGCAATATTGGACTGGTTAGACTGGTTAAATTCACATTCTTATGATGAAATAATACTTAGCAGCTAGTTAAAATTTTGCATGAGATATGTAGGGCATGAAGGAAAGTTCCTGATTTTTTAATTAAAAATATATATATATAAGCCAGGTGCGGTGGCTCATGCCTGTAATCATAGCACTTTGGGAGGCTAAGGTGGGCAGATGACCTGAGGTCAGGGGTTTGAGACCAGCCTGGCCAACATGAAACCCCATCTCTTCTAAAAATACAAAAATTAGCTGGGCATGGTAGCACATGCCTGTAATCCCAGCTACTTGGGAGACTGAGGCAGGAGAACCACTTGAACCCGGGAGGCGGATGTTTCAGTGAGCTGAGATTGCACCACTGCACTCCAGCCTGGGCAACAGAGTGAGACTCTGTCTAAAAAAAAAAAAAAAAGAAAACATAAAAACATACATACACACACACACACAGATGTGCAAAGGAGTAAAGACATACCAACATTATAATAGGGATGTCCCTTGGGTTGTGAGATTAAGCAGCTTTTATTGGTGGTGGTTTTAGTTTTTGAGACAGGATCTTACTCTGTCACCCAGGTTAGAGTGCAGTGGCGTGGTCACAACTCACTGCAGCCTTGAATTCCCAAGCTCAAGCAATCCTCCCACCTCAGCCTCCAGAGTAGCTGGGTCTACGGGCACATGGCACTATGCCTAGCTAATTTTTTAATTTTTTGCAGAGATGGGGTTTCACTATGTTGCCCAGGCTGGTCTCCAACATGGGCTCAAGCAGTCTGCCCTCCTCAGCCTTCTAAAGTGCTGGGATTCCAGGCGCGAGCCATCATACCCAGCCATTAAGCAGTTTTTATTGCCCCTACATCCCCCCAATAGAGGTTGGCGGTGACCTTTGCCAGAGCAGTTTCCGTGGAGTGGTGGAAGCCTGGGTGCTGTGAGGAGAGGAGTGGAGACAGTGAGTGTAGGTGGTGATGCAAAGAGCTAGACTGGGAATAGCTTGGGGTCAGGGGACAAAGAAGACAACTCAAGTGGAAGACATGGGTTCTAGGTCCAGCTCTACTGCCGCTTTGCTTGACCTCAACCTCTGTGAGTACTTCACTATCTCTGTAACATAGGGATGCTAATTACAGTCAGATGCAGTACTGCATGTGATAACATTCTATGAACTGTGCAGTGCGTAGGAACATATCACCATTATGTTATTAGAGGGTGCCCTTCCTAAAACATTTAAAATGTCACTTCCTTCAACTGCAATGCAATTTCGAAGTTTTCCTCTTAAGCCTTTTTTTTTTTTTTCTAGCAGAGTTTGCTCAGAAGTGAACTACTAAATGTTTACCAGGTTCGAACCATGAATCTGAAGTTCTTGTAGCTTAGGGTCACAAACAATTCTTTTGGAGAATGTCATTCAAATCTTCAGCTGATGAAATGATTTTCATTCATCAGTTTTATTTCAGTGCCTGCCACATGTCCACTGATAAGCTGGGCACTTTGACAAATACAAGATTAATAGATTAATAAGTGTAAGTCATGATTCCAGTTATTGGTGATGTGACCCCCAAATTGTTAAGCTGTTTCCTTCTGCAATCCAGTATTTCCACTGGATCTCCTACCAAGGCTAGTGCTGAAGGAAAAGTGCTGATATCTGGAAAATGGATGAGTAGAGAACCCAGAGCCAAGGAATGAAGCTCAAGAATTGTTTTATTTTGTTTTGTTTTTATGTTGTTGTTGTTTTTTCTTGAGACAAAGTCCCCTTCTGTCACCCAGGCTGGAGTGCAGTGGCACGATCTCAGCTCACTGCAACTCTGCCTCTCAGATTCAAGTGATTCTCCTGCCTCAGCCTCCTAAGTAGCTGGGACTACAGGCACATACCGCCATGCCCGGCTAATTTTTGTATTTTTAGTTGAGACGGGGTTTTGCCATGTTGGCCAGGCTGGTCTTGAACTCATTGCCTCAAATGATCACCTGCCTTGGTCTCCCAAAGTGCTGGGACTACAGGCATGAGTCACCGCGCCTGGCCAAGGGTCATATATTATTGATGCTTGAGGAGAAAGGAAACACTGGATCGTGGAAGGAAACAGCTAGCATTTCAGTGACCATTAAGTCATAGATCATCCAGACAACAGGGCTCTTAGAGACCAGTTGACCTGATCGCCTCTGGTGAACCTAAGGAAACTGAAGCCAGAGCGGGAAGGATCAGAGTTGGCAGCAGAGCTTGGACTATAACTTGGAGGTTTTGGTATCCAAGTGAGTGCTTTTTAACCTGATACTTTGATATATATTCTGTCAGCATATAATATATTGAGAAGAATTTTGATTTGATTTAGGAATTTGGAACCATGCTGCTTGGACACTTAAGCAACCTGATTTAAAACCTGATTCTACCAAAATTTCTCAAATTCCTTCAGAGACATATGGGATAGAACAGAGGAGAAAGTGGGCCAAATTTCTTGTAACCTTCTAGATTTATGGTTTCTGACCAGTTAAACATCTGTTATAGAAAAGAATGACAAGTATTTTATTCATAATGGTTCCCTTTTCTGCAGCAGTCCGTTTTGTTTAGCTGTGTCTAGTACTTTGTAAAGAGTGCACAGTTTAGGGTGGATGAGGAGGTAGAGGGTTTCTGCAGGATTACATCTTACAGTGAGAAATAATCTAAGGACATATTCCAGAGGGATTATTTCTTTTAAATTACTAGCATCGTTTGCATTTAACATTTGTGTTGGCTGTGCGTGAGATCTTCCAATGGAATCCACATTTTAAGTTCTGGTTGTGCAGCCCCAGAAAGCCACAAGACAGCGCTGACTGGCTTCCTGTGCTGTCTCCACATTCTTTGCACCTTGATGTTCCTCTCCTCCTTGCAGCTGCTCCTTCAGCCTTTTACCGCTTTCAGTTTTTCCCTTAACAGTTTCTCACTAGCAAGTTTTGTGCATGGTCTTGATCTCTCTCTCTGTCTCCCTCTCTCTCCCTCTCTTTCTCTCTCTCTCACTCTCTCTCTCTCTCTCTCTCTCTCTCTCTCTTTCTTTCTCTTTCTCTCTCTCCCTCCCCACCCTGACATGTTTACTACTTAATGATTCTGTCCTGATCTTTTTACTGTCCTGAGTTCCTGGACTCCTTTCTTTAGCATTATTGACTGAATTCAAATAGAAGAGTCTAGACAATGCCGATTTCAGTATTGTTTCACTCTTTCATTGCCACTGCAAAAATTGAGCGAAAAGTACACATGTACTATGAGAGAGAAAAGAGAGGTTTTGATTTAATTTCAGAGGTTTGTGAGCTGTTGGATCTGCTTTACCTTGAGCAGTCACGGTGTGCTTACCCCAGGGACAGTGACAAAGCAAGACGCTACCAGCAGAGTGGGCTGGTCCTTTATACACAGAGACTTGCTTATTATACGGTTAATGTATCTGCTGTGGGCAAGAACCTTGACAAGGTTGATGAGTTATGAATTTGTCTCTATTTTTAAAGAACCCACAGATGGTACTAAACCTATATAGCTTATATAACTGTTATCATGGGGTCAAGCAGCTATATGACTGTCAAAGATATATTTTTGAGAATAACTGACATTGTGTGTATGTGTGTTTATTTCCCTTTTAGCACGAGGTAGAACTAACATTGAACTTAGAGAGAAATTCATCCTACCAGAGGGGGCATCCCAGGGAATGACCCCCTTCCGCTCACGGGGTCGAAGGTCCAAACCATCTTCCCGGGCAGCATCCCCTACTCGTTCCAGTTCCAGTGCTAGTCAGAGTAACCACAGCTGTACATCCATGCCATCTTCTCCAGCCACCCCAGCCAGTGGAACCAAGGTACGTACTGATCTCTATTATGCTTTTCTTCCCCATTCCCACCCTCACAGATGTTCATTGTTCGTAGTAGCCTCTGAAAGACTCCAGTGAAGAGAAGAACACAAAAACATACAGACCAAGGCTGCCCTGTTCCTAGCAGTACACAGATATATGGCCTTTAAGATGACTCCAAAGGACATTTATTAAAATATGTACTCAGCCTGGTTATGTCAGAAATGTTTATTTCCTCATGTTCTCAGTTTAAGTTTGAGCCCATCCAGTGTTACTACTTTTGAAAATCCAGGCTGGACACAATGGCTACGCCTATAATCCCAGCCTTTGGGAGGCTGTGGTGGGAGGATCCCTCGAGCCCAAGAGTTCAAGACTAGCCTGGGCAACATAGCAAGACCATCTTTACAAAGAATTTAAAAATTAGCCTAGCATGGTGGTGAGCACCTATTAGTCCCAGCTACTCAGGAGGTTCACGCAAAGGGGATTGCTTGAGCCAGGAATACAAGGCTGCAGTGAGCTATGAATGCACTGCACTTTAGCCTGGGCAACAGAGTGAGACTCTGTCTCTTAAAAAATAAAACTTAAGGGAAAAGGAAAGAAAATCCAGGCACTGGCTTGAGTTTGATGTTACAATGGGTTATATATGAAGGATGTTAGTGCCTGCCTGGTCCTTGTCATTGTGATGGACTAGTGTGCATTTTATTTTGTTTTCTGTTTCTTTAAAATTTAGTATCTTCTATATATTTTTTTTCTGTTCCCGATTTGCTCCCTTTTTGTTCCATTTTCACTTGTTCCCATCCTTCCCTTTGGATTTCCGTTTCACAGACTTCACTTCAGTTCTCTCGCTGTTATGACAAACCCTGGTTGGTAAACAGTAAGGCTGGCACCCCTATCAGGGACAGCCATTCTCCTGACCTCCAGCTGTCCAGCTCCGAGGTAGAGTATGGCTTTGCTGACTAAGGACACAGTCAAGACGAGGCCCTCGCTAATGGACTTGACCAGCTCTTCTTCCTGACACGAATCCCTGCACTCTGCCATCTCTGTGGTGCTTCCTGTCACAGCTGATTCATCTAGTCAAGTGTTTTCAGGGGTTTCTAACTCGGATTCACCAAAATTGGAGAGAAATAAGAGATGCCTGGAACTAGATTAATAACTTTATAACAATCTTTAGAATGATACTTGTTCAGAATGGTAAATGAAGATCATTCCTGGAAATTTGTTTATTGATAACATTTACAATCAGGCTTCTTGGAATCTTCAAATATCAGATACTCAGACGAGTTATGAACACTTGAAATTCAACTATATGGCGCATGTTCTACAGTGTTCTATTTTTGCTTAGAACAGAAGAGTGGTTGGCACCACCTGCCCTGAGACACATGTCCAGGGTGGTTGGTATTGCCATACCACACTGGTCCGAGGGGTGGATGCTGTCTCCTTTAGCCAAACACAGCACCAGTAAACACTGCTGTGAGGCTCACATTCTAGCTTCTGAATTTCTTGGCCTAGGCACTTGAGTTTTTGTAGCCTTGATTTGAATACACATGCCAGTAATTAAGCATGTTCAAGTGCAGCTATTAAAATGCCTGAATGCTTTTGGAAGAGCAGTGTTTTAGAAATGAAAAATGGGCTAGTGGCTTGTCTGATAGCAGTGCAGTTTGCATTCTAGCTCCTATTGGGAAACATTGGGTTCTTATGCCTCAAAAGACAGTGTTGCCTTCAGTCTTGTAAAGCCTCAGCCGGGGGAACAAGGGAGGCACAAGAAACCAATGGCTGTGAATGAGCTGCTGCTTTGAGGTTCATCCCACTCCAAGCTAAAACTCCAGTTCAGAAATGTATCTGGTTTAGAACATGATGTGGGGACCTACTGCCACTAAATCCAGACTCCCTGCTTATCTTGCTTTTCTTCTTTCCTTAATGGCCCCAGTTTCATACAATTCTCAGAAGTTCTGTTTTAAATTTTAGATGTTTAATGATGAAGTACAAGTTCTCATACAATGCTGATAAATCAGGCTTGTCCTGAGGTTTTATTTTCTGTTTCATTTCATGTTGAGGTTTTATCTTTCCTTACTTACTTGTGTTCTGTAGCCAGGCCATCTCCTGACTTGGAATCCTAGTCTGGGGTCTAGCTGTGGTCTTTCCAGCAGCAGTGCTCAGGAACAATAACTTCTGAAACTGGTGCTCTTCCTCCTATGTGGGCCACGAAAGCCTATGCTTGTCGCTTATGCTTTTTCTTTACAAATTTAAGAAATACAGCAAACACAATGAGATGGGTTGCTTTTCTCTTCTATTTGCATAAATGTCTTAAAGGTCCTGGAAAACAATTTACATAATTGATTTCAAAGAAAAATTAGAATGGCATGCTGTAGCATGTGGCATAAATGATTTTTTTTTTTTTTTCATTTTTTTAAAAAGCTAAGTAGAGACAAGTTCAAATAATGGATGTTTAAAACATTTAAGGATCAGCCTGGCCAACATGGCAAAACCCCATCTCTACTAAAAATACAAAAATTAGCCAGGTGTAGTGGCAGGCGCCTGTTGTCCTAGCTACTGGGGAGGCTGAGGCTGGAGATCACTTACCCTGGAGGGCAGAGGTTGCAGTGAGCCAAGATCGTGCCACTGCACTCCAGCCTGGGCAACAGAGCGAGACTATCTAAAAAACAAACAAAAAACAACAAAACCCACACAGATTTAAGGCTGGATATGGTGGCTCACCCCTGTAATCCCAGTACTTTATGAGGCAGAGGGTAGGCGGATCGCCTGAGCCCATGAGTTCAGGACCAGCCTAGGCAACATGGAGAAACCCCATCTCTACAAAAAAATACAAAAATAAGCCAGCTACTAGGGAGGCCAAGGTGGAGGATTGCTTGAGTCTGGGAGGTTGAGGGTGCAATAAGCCATGAAGTATGCCACTGCTCTCTAGCCTGGGTGATGGAGTGAGACTCTGTCTTTTAAAAAAAAAAAAAAAAAAAGAACCCACACATTAAAAATACTCTTTTAAGTCCTCCAGTTAAGTCTACTATCTAAAAAAACAAAAATCACTCAAATAGGAAACACAGCACCTATTGGTAGCAGTGATAATATTATATAGCTCTTTTCCAATTTGGGAAATGTTTCTATACATCATTTATTCATTCAACAAGTTTTTAATGAGTTCCTCTTCTGTACAATTTTACATGCTGAGAATGTGAGAATGAACAAAACAAAATCCCTGCTTTTATGGAGTTGATGCTTTAATGCAGGAGAGGCAAGCAACAAACAAGTAATATCATACTTAAGGCAGTGATGAGTACTATGCAGAACACAGGAAGCAGGGGAGAGAATAGAAATGTACAAGCAGTGTTGTAAGTAGTGAGGCAAGACCTCTCTACTAAGGTCATCCTTTGAATAGAGCCCCTACAGGGAATGAGGGGGTGAACCACACATGTATCTGGGATGAGCTTGGGGAGTGGTGATTGTGCAGCAACAGTCCAGGCAAAACGAACAGCAGGGGGATAAGACTTGGGGACCCTTGCTGGGCCATTGGAGGAACAGCAAGGAAGCCAGTGTGGCTGAGATGGACTGATGAGGAGTGTGGGAGAAATGAAATCGGAGAGGCAGGATTTAATCCCTGATTTCCCAAGAGAGAAGCAAAGACACTGGTGTTAATTTACATCAGTCTCAGAACCCAGACTCAGACCCAGATCTCCTAGCTCTTCATGCACAGACTTGTTCCTGATGTCTCAGTTGCACAATCGTGTACTTCTCATAGTTTATTTGATCCACAAGTAAAGTAATTTTATCTGCATTTTACGAGTAAGGATAATGACTATAAGATCTTGACTAAAGTTACAGCACCTACTTAGTGTTAAGAGATTGGAGTAATACTTGAATCTCCATATTAAATAGATGGGGCTGGGCTAAAACTCATTTAAAATTTTTAACCCCAAAATCTTTATACCCAGGATTATTTGGATTTCTTTTTCCTTTACTAATTCACCATAATTGTTTGTTGTAACTATTATAATCTTAGTATCTGAGGATTTTTTTTTTTCATTTCCATTGGAAATTAGTAGAACAGAAGGTATTTGAAGATATTTTGAAATTTTTAATTGGAACATAAAACTTTTATTTTGGGAATCATCAAAATATATGGCCTAGGGTACTTTCAAGAGAAATCTTTGTTTTCCTGGACTTTTAATTTGCTTTTCAATTGATCAAATATAAGGAGGTATAAGGCGACCCTTTAAAGTTGAATTTCTAGCAAGACTTTACCAAGTAAAATATGACCTTTTTTTTTATTTTTTTTTAAGGTTATCCCATCATCAGGTAGCAAGTTGAAACGACCAACACCAACTTTTCATTCTAGTCGGACATCTCTTGCTGGTGACACCAGCAATAGTTCTTCCCCGGCCTCCACAGGTGCCAAAACTAATCGGGCAGGTAAGTACCTGCCCCATGACCTATAAGTCAGGCTGAGAATTTGGAAACAACAGCCTATGTGGAATGTTTCACTGCTCCCAAGGAGCCAGTAATGAGAGTAGCATTTAGTGTGATGCCCAGAAAGACAGACCTGCAGATGCTCAAGTGACCTTTACCTTTTCTGTCATTACAACTAGCTTTAAGCTTTCCTTCTGAGATGAGATGCTTCCACAGCCAAAGCTGGGCCATGCGTTCTCATCAGAAATGATCACATTTAAGAGAATGTGAAAGGAAATATGGGTCTTCCTCAGTGTTGGGAAGAGCAGCTTGCAAGTAATGTTTCCAGCACCTCATATTTATTATGGCTGCTGTTGAACCGAGAAAGGCAGGGAAAGATCACATCTGTTCCCCTGCTGCTATTCCTCATGGGAAACTAGGAATCCGGCTTCATTTCCTGGCTGGCAGCTTCCCATCATTTTGCCTCTATCCGTCCTGCCCTGTATTGAGGTGGTTGAGCAGCCCTGCTTGCCTCCAGTCGGGGCATGGAAGGTAACAGTGCTGCTCATAGAAGTGGCTTTCCAGTCCCCAGGAGGCAGCTTAAGTAGAATCACAAAGCCAGAAAAGGCTTCAGTAACTTCTGTATAGATGAGGAAACTGAGGTGCAAAAAGGCTGTGAGATTCACTTAAGATCACACAGGATCAGAACCCTAGCCTCTGCTCCCTTGTTCTTCTACCCCAGGCCGTCTCCATTAAGTCCGCTCTTTTATTCTTGAATTCCAGACCCTAAAAAGTCAGCCAGTCGCCCTGGGAGTCGGGCTGGGAGTCGAGCCGGGAGTCGAGCCAGCAGCCGGCGAGGAAGCGACGCCTCTGACTTTGACCTCTTAGAGACGCAGTCTGCTTGTTCTGACACTTCAGAAAGCAGCGCTGCAGGGGGCCAAGGCAACTCCAGGAGGGGGCTAAACAAACCTTCCAAAATCCCAACCATGTCTAAGAAGACCACCACTGCCTCCCCCAGGACTCCAGGTCCCAAGCGATAACACTATCCAAGCACCCCCAAGCCACTATCTACTTTGAATCCTGCTCCATACATTGGGTGTATATTTATTCTGAACGGGAGAAGTTATATTGTTAAAAGTGTAAAAGAATAATTGTGTTATGAAGCTGCCTTATTTTTTTTTCTTTTTGTAAGTTACTATTTTCATGTGAATATTTATGTAGATAAAATTTGCCTCCTGGTAACCCTGTAATGGATGGGGCCCAGAAATGAAATATTTGAGAAAAACAAGTGAAAAGGTCAAGATACAAATGTGTATTTAAGGAAAAAAAAAAAAAAAGCCTATTAATAGGGTTTTCTGCGCGGTGCAGGGTTGTAAACCTGCTTTATCTTTTAGGATTATTCCTAAATGCATCTTCTTTATAAACTTGACTTGCTATCTCAGCAAGATAAATTATATTAAAAAAAAAAAATCCTGCAGTGTTTAAGGAACTCTTTTTTTTGTAAATCACAGACACCTCAATTAGCAAAAACTGAAGGGAGGGCACTTAAAATTGCTTTTTCCATTGTTTAATGTTGTGTGATTTTTAGCTAAAGAGAGGGAACCTCATCTAAGTAACATTTGCACATGATACAGCAAAAGGAGTTCATTGCAATACTGTCTTTGGATATTGTTTCAGTACTGGGTGTTTAAAGGACATTTAAATAGCTGCTAGAATTCAGGGGTAAATGTAACTGTTCAGAAAACGTCAGAACATTTGGGGTTTTAAACTGATTTGTTGCTCCCTATCCAGCCTAGACACCAGTAACTCTTGTGTTCACCAGGACCCAGACCCTTCACAAGGGATAGGCTCCTTGGTGGCACTGTGAATTACAGATTTGTTTTATCTACTTTTTTTTTGCTATTTATTTAAATGGTCGATCAACTTCCCATAGACTGAGGAATGAATTCCACGAGCCTGTTCTGAAAATTCGGACATAAGACACACACTTGCCCGTCCTTTAATGGAGTTCACCAGCACACTTGTTAACCAGTCCCGTTTGCTTTTGTCTTTTTTTGTGCGTAATAAAGTCAACTGACCAAGTGACCATGAAGAGGGGCTGTCTAGGGCTCCCGTTTTTTTTAGCTGCTGTTCTTCAGCTCCGACCATGTTGCTGTGTGATTATCTCAATTGGTTTTAATTGAGGCAGAAACTGAAGCTCTACCAATGAACTGTTTAAAAACAAGACACTTTTGTATTAAAATTGCTTGCAGTAACAAATATTTTGGATTTCCTGATTTTCTTTTCAATCGTTACCTTATCTATAAATGTTATCATGGGATATCCTCATGTTGTCAGGACTTAAATGCATTATGCAAATCAAAATATCTTGATGGACAAATTATAGATTTTCTTTTATTTTATCCTTAATTTTGTTTAATACGGCTGGGCATGGTGGCTTACGCCCGTAATCTCACCACTATGGGAGGCAGAGGCAGGAGGATCATTTGAGTTCAGGAGTTTGAGACCATCCGGGGAAACTGTAACTGCTAAAACTTAAGCATGGTGGCAACATGCCTGTAGTCCCAACTACTAGAAAGGTTAAAGTGGGAGGAGCACTTGGGCGTGGGAAGTCGAGTCTAGCCTGGGTGACACAGCGAGACCCTGTCTCAAAAAAAAAAAGAACAGAATATTAACGTGAACGTGTAGGGTATCTGTCCCACTTACGTGATTAAACAAATACAATTATGTAAAAAGATAGATACTAGAAATCATGGAAATCCTGGGGTCTGGGAGAATGGGACCAATTTTTCACACTGTCACAGCATGTTGAGATTTCTGATTAAATGATGGAATTTCAGAGGTGGAAGCAAAATTGGCCATCAAATCTAGCTCCTTTGTTTTATAGATGGAGAAACGGATGGGAAAGTAGAAAGTAATTTCCCTGAGCTCATGAAATGACTAAATGACAGAAGCGAACCTTGAATCCAATCCTCAGCTCCCCATTCAAGGCTGGCACTTCTGTTTCCTCCAGCCTCGTCAGCTTTATAACAGAACAGCCAAATGTTAACTTAGTAACAACAATAAAAGGGCTAGAGGCTTTGGAGGTAAAGGGGCTGAAACTCATGCCACCTGTGTTCTTGGTCATTAGGCTGCATTCCTTATGTGGGCATGTGGTGAAATCGATTTATGTTTGCCAAAGCTGTTTTAGGCCAAATCTCCATATTAAAAGGAATTTGGAGCCTAATGGATTCTGAAGGAAGTGCTTACTTTGTTCTTCATGGACCTGAGTAACTTCAAGCTGCCAGGACTTTGTACAAGAGAGTGTTTTCACCCTAATTTGCTTCCCCTTCTAGGCCTCTTAGCAGCAGAAGCATGCGAGACCAGCTTGACTTCCATCTTCCCAAATTCTGGACTGTGGTCCAGAATCTTACCAAGTAATTAAGGTTTTCTGGGGTTTTGTGGCAAAGCTCAGCTGGCAGTGACACCAACAAAAAGGGGATTTCCTTTTTTTTTTTTTTTGAGACAGGATCTCACTCTGTCACCCAGACTGCAGTGCAGTGCAGTGCAGTGCAGTGGCACAATCTCAGCTCACTGCAACCTCCGCCTCCCAGGCTCAAGCGATTCTCCTGCTTCAGCCTCCTGAGTAGCTGGGGTTACAGGTGCACGCCACCATGCCTGGCTAAAAATAGTGCATTTCCATCTGCACACTAGACCATATAGGAAATGAAGAGATACTAGGAAAAGGGTTAAAGTATAATTACAGGCCTGGCCCACACCTGTAATCCCAGCACTCTGGGAGGCTGAGGTGGGTGGTTCACCTGAGGTCAAAAGTTTGAGACCAGCCTGGTAAACATGGTGAAACCCTGTCTCTACTAAAAATGCAAAAATTAGCCAGGTGCAGTGGCGGGTGCCTGTAATCCCAGCTATTTGGGAAGGCTGAGGTAGGACAATTGCTTGAATCTGGGAGGTGGAGGTTGCAGTGAGCCAAGATTGTGCCATTGCACTCCAGCCTGGCTGAAGAGTAAATTCCATTTCAAAAAAAGTATAATCACAGTCCTGTGACAGAAATGCTAAATGAGGAATGCAAATTTGGTGTCTGCTGGGACCTTGAATGATGCAATAACACTGCTTACCTTAAGGCAGTGATTGTGCTAAGTGCTATGTATACATTCTCACTAAATACCCTTAACAGTTCTATGATCATTAGCCCCCTTTTCTTGACGAGACACTGAACCTCAGAGAGGTTAAGATCACAGAGTTGCCAGGTGGCTGAGGAAAGCCCTTGCTCGGACACTGCTTTCTCCTAGAAACCTATTCTACTTCAGTTCCCTTCCAGTCCTAGTGTTCTGGGATTCCACTCACACATCACCTGCTCCTACTTCCCAGCAAATCTGCCCTTCCAGACACTTTGCTAGCTCCTCTGTGGGAGCACAGCTTTCATGCTGCCTTTGGAAGTTACTGTGTTCACCAGCTATCACTCCTGTTGCTATGGGGGCTGTTCAGGGGCAGAGGGCTTGTCTGCTCCATCTGTGGCTCAGGTCACAGCACAGAGCAGCCCACAGTGGTTGTTGCTGAATTGAATCGTGTGCTGAGGCCCTTGCAATGGCTAAAATCTGCAGTTTAGTTGTATAGGAATGTGAAGCCCGTTGTTTAAAGGACACAGCTCTATTTCCACTCATCCTAAATTGAGAAATGATTTTAGTTATAAGAATCAGCCCAGCACTGGTCAGCTTACAGACTAGCTGGGAGGCCAGCATTGCACAAAATAAACTCAAGCGACTTTTACAGCCTGCATCTAGGGCCTCAGGTGATGTGCTGTGGACTCAAAAGGGGCATGCAGAGAGGACAGTGAAGGGAGTGTGGGCAGGAGATTCTGAAACTGACCAAGATGACATGGGGACAAAGCCGTGTGGATTCAGCCTCCGAAACAGCTTTCACCTCTGCCTATCCACCCCATCACCATTAGAGGCTAATTGTCATTGTACCAACCCCCACATCCGATTATTGTGCCTGACTCCAACTGCAGGGCCCTCACTCCAGTCTCCCTCTGATCCATATTCCGCTCTGCTTCCATGCTCTGGTCTTGAGTGCTTTCAACGTTTATTCTGAATTATCCTTAGTTCAGTATCCTGGGACAGTCCTCAGTCTGAGGAGTAGCCTGGGCCTCAAGGTGGTGGCGTCCCCATCTGCAGGGCTGGAGCCGCAGCAGGTGGTGCACGGGGGCGCTTCTGGGACCGCGCAGAAAATTTACGGGCAGTGTGAAAATCTATCTGTTGGGTAAAAGACAAATTAGGCATGTGTTTAAGGCACCAGCAAATGATTGTTCAGATTAAGAATTTGATACAGAAAATTTTTTTGAAGTGATGCCTTCAAAATGTGATTTTGGAGGCGTTATACACTTGCTTGGAGGTTTAATCTTCAATCCACATGGAGGTCACCATAATCCCTGGTGCCCAGGGCCCTTGTCTAGCCCCTGGAAAAAGGGACCCTTTGCAGTCCCTCCCTTGCCAGTCCCTCCAGCCTCGGCCCATTCCCCCTGGGCTCTCTACGCTCCACTGAGCAGCTGCCCACCTGCCCCAGTCCAGCTCCAGTGCTGTGACCTGGCATAAGTCCCTTAACCGCTGTGTGCCTCAGTTTCCTCATTTGTTAATAAATGGTATGTACCCCCTAACAATGTGTGAGCATTACAGAAATGACACGGGACACGCACTTAGAACGTGCCTCTCACGTGGCAAGTGCTGACTGTTACATGCCATTATTAGGCTCCCCAGCCGGGGTCTCAGGGCCTTGGCACAAGCTCTTCCCACTCTGCCTGGAGCACTTTCCTCCACTGACCTTTCCTGGCGCTCCAGGTCAACTCCAGCAGCTTTCCCAGGGCAGTCTAGGTGCCTTCCTGTTCCGCAACGCCTGAACCACACATGAATAAATAAGGAGAGAGCGCGCCCAGGGAAGAGCAGGGTGTGCAGAAAGGGGCTGAGTCAGTCTAGGCGTTTCCGCGAGGATCCTTCTCCTGCCAGGCCTGCACTGGGGCCGTGGCACTGAGAAGATGTGCACAGGTGGCTCTCAGGTGCTCGGGAAGTGCCCCAGAGCTCCTGGCCTGGCTGGAGGCTGGAGGCCGAGTCTCCTCCGCGAAGCTGGATCAGTACCGGGGGCGCAGGGCGTGCAGCGAGGGCTGCCCGGTGCATGCAGGAGCCAGGTGGGGGGGCGTGGGAACGAGCTGCGGAGCACGTGCCGGGAAGTAGGCGCCCGCAGCAGCGCACGAAGGGGCCGCGGGGAAGGCGCCAGGAGGCGGTGAGGTGCCGTGGTGGACGGAACCCGGGCCGGCTGCTGCGGGCAGAGGAACGTGCCCCACCCTCGGGGCTTGGCTGGCACCGCCTGGCCTCCAGACAGGGCTGCGGACGCGTGTCGAGCCCGGTGGCTATCCCCGCATACCACGGCGGGGCGGCCGGGTGGCACCACTGGCGGGACCCGGAGTCGGGTCCTGCTTTCCGGGCACGGCGCCGCAGCCCTAGGATCTCTGCGCCGAGGCCCGCGACCAGAGCCACGACGGCCCTGATCTCGTTGACGCCCTTGCTGCGGACCCCTCGCCCGGGCCGCCCACCTGCCACGCCCAGGTCGCACCTCGTGGTCGCCCCACCCGCAACACGGGCCGCCGCCACTGGTCCCCTCGCGGGCGTGGCCACCGCGCCCTGGCCCCGCCCCCGCGCCCCCATTGGTCGGGCCGGGGGGGGGCGGGCGGCACCGACGGCTGGGCCGGGGCAGGGACTCGCGGGAATCTCACCGCCCCGGTCGCTGCCTGAGCTCGCCCGTCGCGCGTCGCCCCTGCGCTGCACGGACCGCGGCCACAGCCGGACAGGCGGGCACTGCGGCGACAGACGGATTGGCGGACAGTCCCAGCCCGCGGAGTAGCCCCGGCCTCGAGGCCCTGGCGTCCGCGTCCGCTCGGCCGGGAGCCTGGGCAGGTGCCGCGCGGGAGGCGCTCCGGGGACCGCGCTGAGTCCGCAGACGCCGCCCGCCGGGTCCCACTGACCGCCGAGCCCAGGACCCCGCTCGCCGTCGGGGCGTCCCCGGGCCCAGGGGCTGCCGCGGAGCCGATGCGCGCCCGCTGAGCACCCCCGGCCCACCATGGCCGCGCGCCCCCGCCCGCTCTGGCTCTTGGGCCTGGCGCTGTGCGCGCTGAGCGGGGGCGGCCCCGGCCCACGACTCCCTCCCGGCTGTCCCCAGCGGCGTCTGGGCGCCCGCGAGCGCCGGGACGTTCAGCGCGAGATCCTGGCTGTGCTCGGGCTGCCCGGGCGGCCCCGGCCCCGCGCGCCACCCGCCGCTTCCCGGCTGCCGGCGTCCGCGCCGCTCTTCATGCTGGACCTGTACCACGCCATGGCCAGCGACGACGACGAGGACGGCGCGCCCCCGGAGCGGCGCCTGGGCCGCGCCGACCTGGTCATGAGCTTCGTCAACATGGGTGAGTGCGGCCGCCCGCGCTCCGCGGGGACCCTCGGAGTGAGCTGGCTGCAGGGGAGAGTGCGTGCGTCCGCGGGCTGTGCTGGGCCCTGGCCGAACTGGGAGTCACAGGCAGTGGACGCGACCCCCAGGGGAGTGCGACCGCCGTGGCCAGGGAAGGTCTAAGGGTCCTGGGGCACTCTGGGCTGCGGGGTGGTCAGGAGCGGGGTGGGGGGAACTGTGGACTCCCAGGGGAGTCCTTCACCCTGCCTTCACCTGCACCAAACGCACCCAGGTGAAGGCAGTAAGAATCAGGTGATGGTCTTGCCCACCTGGGCAGCCCGGGGAAGACAGCCTGGTCCTGGGGAGACAGGTGAGTAAACAAGGCCAGGATGCTGTCACTGTGATAAGGGCAGTACTGAGGAGAGGGCCAAAGTTCAGCGTGGAAACCTGTGGTCACATCATCAGAGTGACCAGAGCTGACCCGGTGCCCTGAGTCCACAGCAGGCTCTTCCCTGTGCGGAGCCTGGGTGGGGTGCGGCTGTCAGGGGAGCGGCTGGGAAAGGAGCAGACCCAGCTCGGTGGGGCAGGGACTGTGGCCTTGTCACCCTGGGCCCAGCCTCTGGGACGTGGCCTGGCGTGGGGTGAGTGTCTGGGCCTGTGGGATGGCCCAGTAGGCAGCTGGACCCACTTTGTTCTCCCAGGCAAAGCCTGGCTTTTCCTGTCTGCCAACATCTTCTATCAAACCCTGGAGCTATTTAGTCCTTAAAAGCTCAGAGATTTTTTTTGCAGTGCTAAACTCTTTGGTCTGTGGTCGTGTAGCGACTGTTGGTCAGGTCCCCCATCTGCCTTGCCTCCTGTCTGTGGCAAGTGACAAGCCGGGCTGTGGGGAGCTAAGGACAACAGCTCAGCCCGAGGTGGGGGAGCTGTGGGGCTGAGAGCAGGGAGAAGGTCCCTGCCGGCGTCTCCAGCCTCCCTCCACCGACAGCATCTTTCATTCTCCATCCTCACAGCTACCCTGGTAACAGCCAGGATCTGCATCCCCATCTCCCAGATGAGGACAGTGAGACTCAGAGAGGCAGCGCCATGCCTAAGATGGCACAGCTTCTATGCGGCTGAGCCAGGACAGACCCAGGAAGCCTGATTGTCCATCCAGTGCTCAAAGAGATGACATTTCTGTTGTCAGGTCAGGTTTTCAGGGTGCAGAGAGCTTTCTGAGGAGTCTGGTCCAAATAACCCAGGGCACTGAGCAGCAGCAGGTTTTGTGGGGCCCTCAGCCATTTGCTTCCTACACTAGGGCAGAAGAGGGCGTGGTTGAGCCTCTGCTCCCCGCCACTCAGAGCTGGTGGTGGGCTGAGGTGGGGGTCAGGCAGCAGGAGGCAGCCGTCCACCATCACTGAGCGCCCAGTGCCAGGCACAGGACTCTGGCCCATGGGATCTGGATGCCACCTTTCTAGTTAGAGGACAGGGTGGGGACGTGGGACAGAGGAGACCATCTGTGAAACTGGGGCTGGGGCTCTGTCATCAGGACAGGCTGGCCCTGGGCACAGGACCAAGAAGACTTGTGGATGGAGTCGCCCAAGAATGTCCCCTCGGGAGCCGCCCATCAGAATGAGTCACCACCCAGCCCACATCCTACCTCCCCTGGCATCCCCTGGGTCAAAGCATGCACAGCCTGGTCGGGGCTGTGGCTATGAATTGGGCAGGGGCTAGTCCTGCTGTGTGACGTTAGGGAAGTTCCTCACCCTCTCTGAGCCTTGGTTGCTCCTTGGAAAATGAGGTGCCTGGTGATCTGTCCTCAAGGTTGTTGTGTGATTGGTTGATAGAGGGGGAGGAGTAGAAAGCCTGTTCCTCTCCCCTCAGACGGTGAACCTGGACCTGGCCTCTGCTGACCCCAGGCCCTCCCAGCCATGACCTGGTTCCGAGGTGACAGGAACATCTCCACACGTCTTGTACACATGTGAAACCTAGAAACGGATTCTAAAAGCCAGACAAAAGGTGTGGCTTTTTTTTTAGAATGAAAATTAGCACGTGAACCTGTTTTTAGAATGAAAACTAGCACGTGAACTTTCACAGCCTTAGGATTCCTCATTTCATTCATGTGAGACTGTTTGCCAGCCCATGGGCTCAGGGAGGTTAAATGGCCAGCCCAGGGCCACACAGCACATCTGGGGTGAATCCACAGCTGTGGATTCCAAAGCCCAGCCTCTTCCCACATCAGCTCTGCCTGTTTCATTAAGACCCGGGGCCTCCTGCGCTGCGGGATTAACAGGCAGGTTGTTGTTAGTGGAAGCCCAGGCTGTGGGTGGGCACAGCCAGCTGTCAGAAGGGCCTTCTTTATTCTGATGTGCTAATTGCACTAGTGGAATTCTCTCAGAGTAGCTTTAACTGGCAACTACTGAGGCTGTGGCAGGGTGGGGGTAGACACATACCAGGATGCTCTCCGTGTTTGGAGGCCCCTGAAGGTCGGTGGCCCCAGAGGCCACCACGGGATCTAATAGCAGGGTCGCTGGGGTGTCACTGCCCACACCCAGGCTCCCACACCTGCTCCCTCCTGCTCCATCTCTCCTATCAGCCTCATCTGGCTCCCGAAAAGCCAGGCGTGGTACCCCTAGGCCCCAACTGTTGATGGCAGCCTGTGGGACCCAGAGAGTGGGGCTGTCACAGGCTCCCACCATGGCTCAGGCCTCTGTGCAAAGCCGGTGCTTTAGGAAGTCAAGCCTGCGTCCTGATGTTCAGAGCCTGCATTGGGAGGCCAGGGCTGGGGGCAGAGCCGGGGCCCTGCCTGGCCTGTCGTCCATATCAGCCTGTAGACCTGGGCTCTCTTGGGCAGGACAGTGACAGAGCAGGTGGATTCTGTCCCTGGTCTCTCTGTGCTCAGGGAGGGGAGAGCCCTGATCTGGGAGGCAGGACCCAGGTTCTTGTGCTGCCTGGGCCCACCATTAAGTCCTGCGTGTCCTGGGCAGCGGCCCTTCCCTTCCCTGGGCCTCTGCTTTCTTGTCCATTCTACAGTGATGGCATCAGAAAGGCAAGGTGCCTCCCACCCCTGACCCTGCGGCTCTGTGGCAGAGGCGTCTTCTCACAACACCGCCCATGCCCTGGCCCCAGTGTCTCAGGCCGGCCCGGCCCCTCCTGAGGGAGGAGGGATGGCAGGAAGGACCACCTCTGCACATTCCTCCCGAATCCTCCTCCGCCCACGTCAGCAGAGAGGCAGGTGCCCATGTTCCAGATTGAGAAACTGAGGCATAAGCAGGACTAGCAGGCAGAAGTCCAGCCAAGATCAGAATGCAGGCAGCTTCTCTTTCATCCTGATCCCTTCCTGCACCAGACAGATTTGTTCCCGTGGTCTCTGGTGGCCGTGGACAGGAGCGTTGATGAACTGAGCCTTCTGGGTTTGGGAGAATCAGGACTGAGTGGGAATTCAGGACCTGGCCTGGGTCCTGCTCTGCCCTTGCCAGCCATGTGACCTGGAAGGGTGTCACCGTCTCCGTGGGCCCCAGGGCCACTGCCTTTGGTTCTTTACTAGGGACTTCTTTCATTTTCCCATGCATTCATTCACCAAATAGCTATGTAGCACCTACCATGGGCCAGGCACAGTTGTAGTCACTGGGGATATAGCTATGAAGAAAGTAAAGTACCTGCCTTCAAGGAGACGACTTTCTAATTCGAAAGACACATAATACATACTTGAGCTCTAAAGGTACTTGTTGGGTGTGCTAGACAGTGATGCCCCATCTCGAAACAGGAGGGGCTGAACAGTAGCACTTCAGCCTGTAGCCCAGGCTGGGATGCAACGGCATGATCTCGGCTCACGGCAACCTCCGCCTCCCGGGTTCAAGTGATTCTCCTGGCTTAGCCTCCTGAGTAGCTGAGATTACAGACGCGCGCCACCACGCCCAGCTAACTTTTGTATTTTTAGTAGAGATGGGATTTCGCCATATTGGTCAGGCTGGTCTCAAACCCCTGACCTCATGATCCACCTCCCTCGGCCTCCCAAAGTGCTGGGATTACGGGCATGAGCCACCATGCCGGCCCACAGTCCATCCATTCTTATGGACATTTGGGTTGTGAATACTGTTATACACGTTCCTCAGTGCATACATTAAAGCAGGACTTCAGTCTTACATGTGTTGTTTGGGAGCTGTGCGACGCTGAGCAGCTTGCTGGAAGTCCCTGAGGCTCAGTTTCCACATATTCAAGACAATGTAAGTGAGCTGGCCTCCTGGGGTTGTGTGCAGTGTGGCCAGCTGGAGGCTGACACATAGTAGGAACTTCACAGATGGGGGCCAATCGATTGTGCCCCATTTCTGTGCCATTGCCCATTTGGAAGCCCCTTCATAGAATGCACTTTCCACCATTTTTGTTAGGTGAAAACCACCTAACTTTTAAATGAAGGTGGGTCAGGGTTTCCGTAAATCTCTCGGCTCCTGCCCCACAATCCCATAGGGACAGGCTCTTTCCAAACAGAAGTCCCACCTGCATTGCATGCACTTCTCTCAGGATTCCAGTCGCTTTCTGCCTGTGCGATCCAGGGGCACACCTAGCCCTTCTTTCTCCTACTCCTCAGCAACCCCGGAACAATCTGAGAACAGAGACCAAGTCTGACTCTTCCCCGAACCCCCCATGGTGCACACAGCCCCTGTGTGGCAGGAAGTTGAGGGAAAGAGGAGCCCAGCCGGAGGCAGGGAGCACAAAGAGCAGGGAGGAGCCTGGGCCTGGGCGGGTGGGACAGAGCAGGGCCGCCCTTCCTGTCTGTGTGGGGCCGATGATGGGTGCCGCAGCTCCCTGGGCCCTCCTCTGGGACCCTGAGTCCCCAAAGGGCCCTGCCTGGAGGAAGGTGGCTTCATGGGCATTCTCGGGTGTCTGTTGACAGGAGGGCCTTGTTGGCGGGTGACCCCCATCCTGATATGTGCCATTACCTCTGGGGCCACTTGTTTCACATTGGCCCCAAGTATGAACATCCATATCATAGGCCTCCAATCTGACACGTGATCCCGGAAACCCTCTGCCCCTCCTCGGCCT